CAGAAGATGGTTGGGGAGGGAGTTTGTGTTAGCTTGCTGCCTTGACAAGAAACAGTTATTTATTGTTGAACAGCACTGAGCCGAAAAGGAGAACACATTTCTTAGAGCAGATAACAGGAAGCACAAGGGGTTTTTATAATTTTTCACAATTAAGGCACAAAACTCTATTAACCCTTTACAAAACATTTAATTACAAGAAACCCTGTTATGTAAAGGATTCAATTCTTTGAACTTTATCTTTTGGGGGTTGTTTTAAATTTGTTTGGTTTCTTATTTTTAATTTATAAGTTGGGACTATGAATGGATTGCCACATAGGAAAAAATTTGTTGAAGTGCCCTGGGTCCGAGTGATTAAAGCTTTTTTGATCAGTCCTTTTCCAGTGTATCTTATGAAACTGAGTATTGGGAAGTAGAATTGGTTAACTGCAAACATTCCTGTAAAGAACAGAGTAAGTCTTACCCCCTTGTTTTTGTTTACTGTGAAAGTTGCTTATGAGAACAGTTACCAGTTTTCCTGACCTCTAGTAAGGTTCCCATGGGAAAAATATTCTGACATTGTTCTTGGAGCCTAACTGTTTAGGATCCTTGACAGCTGTATGATTTTCTTGGTTCACCGCAATGTTAAGGCAGCTTTTGACAGATTCCATAGATGGATAGGGGAGAGAATTTAGCATAGATCTATGGAAGGCTATAGGCATTAATGTAGTGATGACCCTAGAATGGATTAGCTGGGCCAGAATAGTCACCTACCATCAGAAAAAAAGATGTAAATTCCATCTTCCCTGCCTGTTAACTCGTTTTTATTTTATCACCTTCCTATTATCTAATATTTTTAGTCATTTTTGTTTTTCTAGAAAGTTTGTTTCTTTTGAATATTTTTCCTCTTTATTTTTTGCATTTTTTTGTGATGGTTAAGTTTTATTAAAGATAGAAAAAGAAACAGGCTTTGGGGAGCAAGTTTGGGCTGAGTAAAAAGGAAAAGAAGTTACACCCTACAGCACGAGTGTGGGATATGTGCAAGAGAAAATAAATAGAGTGGCTGCATTCTTATTTCATTTTCATCTTGTCTTTTCAGTATCTTACTATAAGTGATTTTCTTATTAATCTTGGTGAGGTTTGGAATGTATGAGACTAAGTGAAAATAGAGCTGCAAGGCCTCTGAGATCATAACTTTATTGGTATAACCCCAGATCCTCAAAAAATCTAGGGGATTAATTTACTGTCTTTTTGAATGTTTAATTCCTTGACCTGCAAACACATATTTATTAGCCTAACTCAAACAATGAAGCTATTAAAACTTCGAAGGAATATTGTAAAGCTCTCATTGTACCGACATTTTACCAACACACTTATCTTGGCAGTGGCAGGTAAGCCTGAGACTTTAATGTTGTTTGATTTTCTTTCTGTGCTTCTTTTAGAAACACATTCTTAACCCCAGAGGCTATAACTATACATAGAATTTCTCTTCCAATTCTGAGGATTACTGAAATAGCTAGATGGTATTTCACTTAGGAAAATGCTCTTGTCAAATCATCAGAAGTATCTGGTCCTGAAAAAGATTAAGAACCTCTTAAGTATACCAGGTAAAATTAACCTCCTATACTGTTAGATCCAAGTGTATCTCTCTTCTGTCCCCATACATTTTCTTTGGCATTCTTTTTCTTGAAAAAAGTGAGTACCAAATAGCATTTAGAATTGTTTCAGAAGACATTACAACATGCTTATTTTCTTTTTCTTTTTCATTTAAATTTTTTTTGTTGAAGACTAGGTGTGGCACATGCCTGTAATCCTAATGCTGGGGTGGGGGGGGTTGTCGCCTGAAAACAGGAGGATCACTACAAGTGAGACCCTGTACCAAATACATAAAATTTTTTTGTTGTTGTTGGAGATTCAACCCAGCATCTTCTGCATACGAAACAAATGCTTCACCACTGAGGTATATTCCAAGCCTCTCCTTATTTGGTTTTATTAAATAGCAGTACAATTTTAGGTTTGGGCACATGGCTACTATAGTACTTTTTTCACATATCATTGAGTATACATAAAATGTAGACATAAGGTAGACTATAGCCAGACTAGGCTAAAATTTCTACCTTTGGCCGTTTTACTATGAATAATGAGGTCTGACCTGTGCTTGGAACCAGTCTTTCTGTTTGTGTTATAGTCATCTTATTAATAACTTTTTTGTATCTGGCCAGCCAATAAAAAATTATAATCACTACTGTATGGTAAAAAAATATATTGGTACTACTGGCAAAGCCCTTTTTCCAATAATTTCTAATTCTGAGGATTGCTAAAATAGCTAGGTGGTAAACAAAAGTATTACAAAGCTGTTCCTGAGTATAGGAAAGGTTGACTAGAATAAATACCCTGGACCCTTGTTTATAGCATGTGTTCAGGAAATTTATATTGAATATATTTGTGAAATAATTGTGAAATGTTGGGGTTTAGAGGATCAAGGAATATACAACCAAAAGTTCATGTTCTGACCAAGTTTTTCATTTCATGTTAGCATCTATTGTGTTTATCATCTGGACCACCATGAAGTTCAGGATAGTGACTTGTCAGTCGGTAAGTTACAAGCACGTACCTTTATGAGTATTGTTCTGTTGCATACCTGATGATAGTTTATAGCAGTGCTTATGTTCTTTTGACGAATAAGAAGTTAGTCTGTTCTGCTCTGAGAATTATAGCACTTATCTTATTAAGTGTTCTATGCTGTTACAGTGCATGACATGATGATTGGATTTTATCTGTTTTTATTTTATTGGTTTGCAGTGCTGAGATTCCAATGTGCAGCCTTGTGCATGTTAGTCAAGTCCTTAACCACAGCACTGTACCCCTGAGCCCTCTTTGTCTATTTGGCTATATATTTCAATACTGAGAGACAATTGTGTTATGATTATATTCTGTCATAACCCAGGTTTGCTTTAACTAAAAATCTTGAAAAAACCAGTGTTAGTACTTTCCTATAATCCCAGCTACTTGGGAGCCTGAGGCAGAAGGGTCACAAGTTTAAATCCAACCTGATCAACTTAGTGATTTAGTGAGACCCTGTTTCAAAACCTGAAAAAAATTTTTAAGCATGGAGAGTAGCTTGGTGTGAAGGCCCTGGGTTCAATCCTCTAGTGCTGGGGAGATGGTCCTCGAAGAAATCTAGTGTACTGAACCTCAGATGTGTGTGAATACTACTAGTCTGAGTAGAAACCATGTCCTTAAGATCTGTACATGAAGGTTTGGGCCAATTGGATTTTTCTGGAGTTAGGTAAAGCTCTACTTTGGTAGAAATAAATAGAAGTAAGAATGATGAGGGGAACACACTTTGCAGGTACCCTTTGTCCCTCTGGAACAGAAGCTTTTCTTTCTCTCAGTAAGTTCTTCCTACTATGAAAGAAAAAAAGAAAGAAAAGAAAGACAGACACAGACAGACAGACAATCTAATGGTACTTTGTTTTATGTTGTATAAAACTCTTTCCTAAGGAGTCTCAGAGCAGTGGTGAAGCTTTGACAAGTGCTGTGTTCAGATGGTAATTCTTTTTTTTAACAATCACTTTATATCTCCAGCATTGAACACAGTGCCTGGCACGCACAGTGTGTTTTCAGGAAATATAACTCATGTACATAAAGGAATCTTGTTCTCTGCTAAGAACTTAGTGATGAAAAATTAAAATAATACAGATAAATGTGCTTTTCCTCCTTCTTGTAGGACTGGCGGGAGCTGTGGGTGGATGATGCCATCTGGCGGTTGCTGTTTTCCATGATCCTCTTTGTCATCATGATTCTCTGGCGACCATCAGCAAATAACCAAAGGTTCTTGGACTGTTTTTCTTTTTGCTGTGAACCATTAAACAGCCATGTCATCAGGGGTGACTGAGGGACCATGGCAGGGCCGTATTGTATAGTGGAAAAGCAACCAGGTCTAGAATCAGTTGAATTGGGTTTCTCTCTTGGCTGTCCTCTTAACTTCCTTTATGATATTAGTCATGTTGTCTTTTCTGTTCTTTAGGCATTAGGTTTTTTGTTTTTCTTCATATGAGATAAGTGATATAAGTTCTCTTTCAATTCTGACATTTTCTTTGTTTTTTTTTTTTTTTCAATTCTGACATTTTCAAATAATATAAATAATTAGGTAGCTAAATAGTAGAGGTAGATGTCATTAGTAATAAGAATCTCTACTGTCTGGTGTACAGAAGGAAAGTAAAATTTCTGTAGGCCCAGGCCAGCTCACTTTATAGAGATGGTAATATGAAAATATAGATGACTTGAATTTTGTTTTTCCACCTATAGGCAGATTTTAGTTAGGTAGGAACTATCTTTATTTTGTGTATATCCATGCCTTTGTGTCCCTGTTTATTTCTCCATCCTTTTGTATTTTCATAGTTAGGAACTTAACTATACAAACAAAGAGGAGTAAATTATTTAACCAGATAGCTAATTTTATAATCAGACATGCCAATAAAAGATGGGAATGAAAATAGCTTTGTTGTCTTTTCAAACTAAGCACTTAGTCTGTATTCAGTGAAAAAAAGTCAAGCAATAGAGAAAGCCATGAAAGAAAATAAAGGCAATCCAAAATCATATTTTTCAGGAAAAAAACCCATAGACAGACATTCTTTTCATATCTATTGATATACTAGTTAGTTGATAGCTATATCTTAAAATTTTCCCCTAAGTCAGTTAAAATTTTTTGTTTCCTTTCTCCTGCCTTCTCTCCCTCTTCCCTCCCTTCTTCCTCTTTTAGAACATTACCCCCTCTCCCCATGACCTTGTTGTTAATATTTAATGTGACATAACCTTCCATATTTTATTTCCTGTTCACATGTACAGTTTTCCTGTACTCTACATTGGGGAGGTTGATTTCAAGGTAGCCTATTTTAAATTGAACTCATCTGTTTTTTTAGATGACATAATATTACGTGGTTTACATGGAATATAGTTACATTAACTTATTCATTAATGAACATTTGGACTGTTTCCCATTGGGGGGCTACCCATATGCTTAATGATTCACTAGAAGGAATCATGAGACTTAGCATGTAGTTGTACTTACAACTAATGTTTATTCTACCAAAATGATAGAAGCAAGATGAAAAGTCACAAGTTGAGTCTAGAGAAACTGTATTTTCTTTTCCTAAATTTTTTTCCTGGGAAAATACGTTAGCTGTGTTCCTCTCTCCTGCCACAGAAATGTTCTAAAATGTGCATACTTTCTGACCAGGGCAGCCTTTTGACTCAGTATTGAAATTATTATTGAAGGCTAGTCATGTAAGCACTCTTTGCCTAGGACATAGGAAAACTCGGTTTCCCAGAAGGAAAGCCAGTATTTGTTGTAAATTGCATTGCACAAACAGCCCACACATACTGCTGCCTTGTCAATTAGGGAACAGGTCAGAGTCCCAGATAACAGCTATGCCAGTCGTGCAGTTAAGCCTTCCTGAAGACCTATTATATTAAGTCTTTTGTATATGTAGTGGATTAAAAATAGGATAAAGTACATAATGTAAACACCCTGTAAATCTAGTTTTAGGCACTCCCAATATCCCTTGCCCTACCCCCATGGCACTTACTATGCTCTAATTCCTACATATCTTTTAATATATTGATTAATATCTGCCTTCATCCACTCCTCAAAAAAGTAAATTAGAAAAAATTCCAAATGTGAATTCTATAAAGACAAAAGAAGTCTTTAACTACAGCATGCAATTGCAGAATCTTACAAGAATCCTCACAAACTGGTTGCGACTTCGGACACTAACTGTAGATTCATTGGTTTCCAAAAGTTTTGTCAGATTTGATAATTCACTAGAAAGACTCATAGAACTCACAGAAAGCTATTACATGCTCGTGACAGTGGCTTATTTCAGAGATGGGGTACAACTAAAATAAACTCAGGTGACTCAAAGGACAGTCTGGAGGTACTCAAAGGCAGAGCTTCTGATTGTCATGTCTGTACAGTCAATGTGCTTTCTCCTGTGACTATGCAGAACATTACCAGGGAAACTCACTTGAGCTGAGGTGTCTAGTCTTCACTGGGGTTCAGTTTTATCCTCCTTGTGTGGCCAGCCTTTCATGTCCAGACCCTTCCTAGTGAAAGTGAAACTAGTGGCTTTAGTCTTCTTTTCTTCCATAGGTCAGAAGTAGCATGGCATAGCCTTATAAAGCACACTTACAGAATTTCTGGAAGCCTGCTAGGAAACAGAGACATCCCGTGTGGCATAGCAACTGCCTTCTAGTGCTCAAGGGCACGGGCCAGACTTCTATTTTGGGTAAAGTTAATTTTTTTTTTTTTAAATATAGGCTGCCCACTGGCTTTTGCCTGGTACTTTCTCAGAGCAGGAGGTATATTTGTCTGGGCATCTCTTTTTAATGCTCCATAATTTATGTGATAGACAACAATAATAACTGAATATTCCTGACATTGGGAGGAGCCAGTATGTGGTAAAGATAGATTTAAAGAAAGACCTAATCAGTTCTCCAAAGCCATTGCTAACATTTTTGTATTTTATACAGATTTAGTTATGTACTTAACCCCTTAAACCGTGTAGCATAGAAAATGATAGAAGTGCTGTTAGAATTATTGAGATATTTGTTCTGCCTTTCTAACAGAGTTTACCATTGCTCATATACCAGATGTTACTGTGTTGATTTTTTTTTTGGTGGTGGTACTTGGAATTGAACTCGGGATCTTGTACTTGCCAGGCAGGTGCTTATGCCACTAAACTATCTCCCCGACCTCCAGATGTTACTATGAACAAGTGTCATGGTGGTTGGCCGCAGTTTATTTCAGGGTTCCACGTTAATTGAGAACAAAACTAGACATCCTGTCAGTTTGTGGGCTTTTGCTGAGACTGGTTTCCATTGTTTGGTGTTATATAGTAGAGTTTGCCTTCCTCCTGTAGGAGCACAGTGGTGGCATCCAGAGTAGTTTCTCTGTCCCTGCTGGCAAACAGTTGTTGTAGGTGCTTGCAAGTTATCAGAAGCCCTAGGCTGTATTCCCCCTGAGACTCTTGTATGGAGACGTGTCTATATTGGCACTCCAGCTTCTGTTCTTACATCATTTACAAATTAATGACCTGTGTGGTCTTATTGGTTGCCATTCAGCATGTCTATTTTGTTTCAGCAACCAGAAAAGTAAGACACTGCATTATGATGGTGACTTAGGCCTTACCCTATAACTTCAAATTGAGGCAGAGATTTCCCCTCCTCCTCCCATTGTAACTTCAGGTGCTTCTCAAATATCATCATTAACAAAGAAAAGGCCTAGTGCCTGAATTCTTGGGTAAATTTCTAAATTCAAGGTATAATATGTCTTTGCATCTGCCAGAACATACATTTTTATACCATATTTGGCATATGTTGCCTAAAGTGTTAAGAAGTGCAAAATAATCCACGTTGCTCATTAGTTGTCATGTATTTGCACCTTTTATAAATTGCTTGACAGATTAAAACAAAATTTTTACCAAATGAACAAATAGCCAAATTGTCAGATTTTTTTTCTTGGTGGGTCTTTTGGTTGGCAAAACCTAGTCAATTTTGAAAGAACCCAAATCTCTTGAGTGTCATTATTCTAAGAATCTTAATGCCACGTCTGTCACTTCTCAAATCCTTTATATTCTGATGATTAGAATGATAAAGTCCTACTATTAAGGCTTTTAGTTCATATAGTGAGGTGTCACAATAAATATATTTTTGAGTGTTATTATAGATTTCTTATGTTTCATTATTAGTGTATTTCAAAGCATTCTTGTAGCATATCATCCACTACAAACACTTTCCAACAGTATGTCACAGTGTTGTCATTCCATCCAATAGTTTTCTTCGCCCTCAAGAACATAACATTTTCTGACCTAATTCTAATGTCAGATTGTTCAGGCATATATGAACATTTTGTACTATATTGACTAAGCAAATATTTACATACATTACTGTTTCTTCCTCATCCAAAGCAAGGTCTTCATTTTGTGCTTCTCATGTATCTTCTCCATATATCTCCATCAGTATATCTCTGTCATATATTGCTAACTTTATTACTAACTTCTTTGGTTTACATGATCCAAGTCATCACTGGTACTTGAGTCACATGATGACTCACTTCCAAACTCCTCCCAAAGATGTGAAACAGGTTTTTATGCAGCATTGTACTAAATTGGGTCAAATCTACAAGAAAAATCAAAAGAAAACATTTAATAAAAAATTATAAGTATAGGGGCCAGGGAAATGGCTCAGTAGAATAAACACTTCCCTGGCAAGCGCAAGGGCCTGAGTTCAATCCCTGGTTCGACATAAATAAATAAATAACGAGAACATTAAATCTTTAAAAAAAATTATAAGTATACAAAAATGAAAGAGAGCACATAATGTGAGTAAAACTCATCCATTCATACTTTGACACCCATATATATACCTTGCCATTCATTTTATCAAGTGGGTAAGCACAAAGATTGCTTTCTGTGTTCCCCCAGTGCAGCTGTTGAGATGCACAGCTGGCTACTATTATGCTAAAATACATATTTTTATTAGAGAAGAATGGTATAGGTTTCTGTGACTCAGTATGAGAAACTGAAGCGAGAAGTTAGATTGCTTGTCTAAGGTTTTAGATACTATGTGGCTGAGTACTCCTAAGTGTGATACTATTGTGCTTCTCCCTTGCTAATGAAGGCCCATTAGAGCTTTCTGAAAGGGAGAGATTGCTCTTCCTAAACTGCTAATGTGTTAATTACTACAGTTGAGTTTCAGTAGCAAGTTCTGTAAAACCCAAATAGAGCACATCTGTAGTTTTTCTGATTTTTCCTTCTCATCTGCCACAGGTTTGCCTTTTCTCCATTGTCTGAGGAAGAGGAAGACAACGAACAAAAGGAGCCAATGCTGAAAGAAAGCTTTGGTAATGATAAAACTCACTTTTTTTGGTTACTTTAAATATTTTTTTCACAAAAGTACATTGTTTATTTTTTACAACAGTATTGTTCCTCAGTTTGATGTATGATAAAGTTAGGATGAAGGGGATATAAGGTGTAAGTTTTAAGCTGAAGCAATGATAAATTGAATAGTTTTACATTAAATGTCCATTTTACATGCTAGAATTGAGCTGCAAGTTTAGCTTTGAACTTCCCCACTGTAAATGCGAAGGTGGAGAAATGTCATCTGTTGCATAAGTCATACTCAGTAAGCTTAAAATAAAGTTCTCAATCCATTTTTGTAGTCATTGCTGGTCTGTTTACACAGTTAACCAATCTGCATACTTTCTTCCACCGCAGAAGGAATGAAAATGAGGAGTACCAAACAAGAACCAAATGGGAATAGTAAAGTAAACAAAGCAGTAGGTCTAAATTTTTCCTTTCCTCTTTGTTTTTGCCCCATTTTCTAGTCCTTGTTGGAACTCAGGAGTTATGTATAAGCCTTAATGGTTTTTGTGCTTATGTTATAATTAGGCACGCTTTATAAATCTCTTAGTATTTATTAATGACCACATTCAAAAATAGCAACTAAAAGTAAGATCTAGTAATTTTTAACAAGATGATTTATTTCTCTATTTGTAAAAGGTAGCAGATCAGTCTGTTCTGTCTAGTGGTTTGTGGCAGTGAAGTCATAGTCACATTAATAACCTAAGGTCTTTTTTTTTTTCTTTTTTCTTTTTTTTCTTTTTTTCTCTCCGAATGTCTTGAGGGCAGGTTTGGCTGGCTTGGGTTGTGGGGATCGAACCACAGTAACCTGAGCCTGACTGCTTGGTTGAAGCAGCCACTTAAAGAACTGAGCTAAGAGGAAGGCCCCCCCCCTTTTTTTTCTTTAATAATGATTTAGATGTTGTCAGAGATTTTTCTTTCTTTTTCTTTAGGTGCTGGGGCTTAAACCCTGGCCCTCTGGTATGTTAGGCAAGTGTTCTGCCTCTAATCTAAGTCCCTAGACATCAGTCAGATTTTACTGAAACTGAATGTTTACTCTTCATAAAAGGATTTATTTATTGTGATTTTCTTTTTTAAACAAGGTCTTTTAATATGTAGTCTACACATGGCCTCCAGCTTGTAGTCCTCCTGCCTCACCCTTCAGTGCTGCAATTACAAGCATGTGCCACAATCCCCAGCTCTAAAAGTACTTCAACATTTATTTCAATCTTAAGAAGTAAAGCCTATGTGAAATATATACTTCATGTATTAGGCCAATGGGAAGGACATTTTCACATGGAGAACATTGCGTTGTATATCTGTTACTTGATTTTGAAAATTAAATTATTTGGTCCTAGCCAGAGGAATTATGCAAGAGAAAGGGCATCAGTGGTAGAAAAAAGTTCAGTTTCTGTTTGCAAATAAAATGATTTTTTTTTTTTTTTTGGCGGAACCAGGGATTGAACTCAGGCCCTTGCGCTTGCCAGGGAAGCGCTTATTCCACTGAGCCATCTCCCCGGCCCCTAAAATGATTTTTTTTTTTTTACATGTATTTGCTACAGGGTCTGCAGGGTCTATAGGGTCTCACTACATAGATCATAGTGATTCTTCTGTTTTCAGCCTCCCAAGAGCTGGCATTACAGGCACATGCCACCATACCCAGTCTCAGTCGCAGTCTGAGTGCACCCCAGGGGCCAGGGCTGGCACTTCACGCTGAGACCCCAGCTGCTGTGCTCTGCCTAAGCAAGCACTTTAGTCCACTGAGCTATCTGGCCAGCCCCAAAATGATCTTGCGTATAGAAAATATCAAAGACTCTAAAACTTTTAGAACTAATAAATTCAGTAATATTTCAAAATGCAAACTCAATATACAAAAATTAGTTGTATTTCTATAAACAGTAAACTATCTGAAAGAAATCAAGATAGCCATTCCACTTATAATAGCTATAGAAAAAGCTCTTAAGGGTCGTGAGAGGTTACTTGAGTTGTATTATTTGTTCCACTGTGGTAACAACAAGCATTTTTGTATTCCCAGCAGGAAGATGACTTGAAGTGGGTAGAAGAGAATGTTCCTTCTTCTGTAACAGATGTGTAAGTGTTTAAATCATTACTATCATTTTGTTTTGGTTGGCCTTGAACTCATTCTAGCATCAAACTTGTGTTCCTCCTGCCTTCGTCTCCTGAGTGCTGGGATTATAGACCTGTACCGTCATGCCTGTCTTGAATCATTATTCTTAAGAATCCTATTTCAAAGTTAGTACTATTAAAAAAAAACAACAACAGGGGCTGGGGAGATGGCTCAGTGGAATAAGTACTTCCCTGGCAAGCGCAAGGGCCTGAGTTCAATCCCCAGTTCCACAAAAAACAACAACAACAAAATACTATTGTTTTATTATTCTAAATTATGCTAATGAGAATATAAGATGATGAGTAATGATTTAAAAATAGTTGGGATTATTTATTCAGATGATACTTCTGTTAGAAAGATCTGGTTGTAGCTCTTTCCAAAATCAATGGGATAATTCTTTAAGAATTGTGAAGTTTCTTTTTATTTACTTTTAAATTTTTTAAATATACCTTTTATTTAATTATTTGGTATCTGGGATTGAACCCAGGTCCTTATGCTTGCTAGGCAGGTGGCTTTAGACTGCTGAGCTATCTCCTCAGCCCTGAAGTTTCTGTTTAGAGTTGTATCATGAATGAGCCATTTAAAAATAAATATATAAATATATATATATATATATATATATATATTAGAATGTTTTTCTTTTTTGCATTTTTTTTCCTACAAACACCATTAATGTATATCTGAGATAAGTTATAGAAAAGCTTTAAATTGTAGTCACTATTGACTGTCCTTTATGAACCACTTACAGCTTTATTTATCATTGTTTAATTTAATGTTTCCTTCTCTCTGCAGAGCACTTCCAGCCCTTCTGGATTCAGATGAGGTTAGTACTCAAATCATGTCCATAAGCTATGAATCCGGTGACTTAATAGAAAATCAGGAATGAACTAAAGAATTAGGTTGGTACAGCAGAAAAAGAGAATGGGAACTTAAACATTCAAAGGCGTTTCCTTTCTTTACAAGTATCTACCATCTCCTTTTCTTTTCTAAAGTTATATGGTCCAACTTGAAAAATGCTTTAATTTAAATTAGGTAGCTATTACTGTTCTCTCCATTGTCTAGTTCGTTTGTCTTTAAGAAATTGAGATTTTATCATTATCTCATCTTGGCAAAAATTATTAGCAGAAGTATTGAGAAAGGAATATAGTAGACCAAAGCAACATACCAGTTACGCATTGCATTTAATGTTCTATATTGTCACTACTGCTTTCCATAGTGATTATAATTACCTCTAATATTTATGTTGCTTTGTAGTTTTTTTAATACACCTCCATTCAGTTCATTTAGAAGATGGCACATACTCTTATATGAGAATTGTGATATGGCTTTATGGGACCTAGTTCTAGATAGGTTGTGAATATTAAATTCTTCTATAGTCCCTTGGTTTCAGAAACTCTTCTGGAAGCATCTTGCCTGATTTCTGACTCACTGTGTTGAGTTGGTAGATAAAAATGTTTTACACCTTTCTCAGCAACCTACTTTGTGACAGTGCACACGTGCAGCATCAGATTCCTTACTTATCCTGTGCAGTGAAATATTTGAGAATTCTACCATTCAGATTTTGCCTTACCCACATTAGTACTTTGTTTTCTGTAGTGCCTTGTGCAGTTCCCACTTTTCTCACTGGGAGGTCTTCCTCTGCTAACTACTTGGCACCAGGGTTTCCCTTTGTCTTCAGCTACCCAGCCAGGCTGGAAGGATGATATGAAAACAGGAGTGCTGTTCATTGGAATAAATTACTATTTATTTCAGCCATCTTGTCAAATATATGTTAGTATTAGGGCTCTTTTTTGTGGTAACAAAACATAATGGATTCACACTCAGAATTTTTAAAGTGTGTGTTACAGTAGTAAATATAAGAACAATTCATACAGATCTGTAAGAATTGTTTTGTCTAACTGAAACTTTATACTGTTGAGTAAAGAGTTCTGCTTCTGTTCTCCCATGACATTAGCTGTTTTCTATTTTGTTACATTGAGTTTGGCTTTTTTATGTCCCTCACATAAATGGAATTGTGCAGCATGTGTTCTACAAACAGTGTTTCCTTTCTGATTGTATACCTTGTTCCTATTACCTAATTGCTCTGTCTAGGACTTCCAGTATGGTGTTGAAGAGAAGTGGTGTGATTCAGCAACCTTGCGTTAGTTTTTCATTGTTGAATACCATGTGAGCTATTCGTTTATGGGCTTCATTGTGTTGAGATGATTTCCTTATGTTCCCATTTTATTGGAAGTTTTTATTATGAAAAGATAGTAAATTTTCTTTCTTTTTTTGTATCAGTTGATAAGCTCATGTGGAACTGGCCTTGAGTTTGTTACTATATCATACTAATTGGTGTATATTGAGCCTTCTATGTCAGGGTGAACTTTACTTTCACAGTATGTGATCCTTTTAAAAATGTGCTGTCAAATTTGGTGTGCTAGTATTTGTTGAAGTTCTTTGTTTTATATTTTGTTTCTGGAATTGGAGCTTGAACCTAGGCTCTTATATATCCTGGGCAAATACTGTTATCACTGAGCTATATCTGTTACCCTTTATTCTTTTTCTTATTCTTACTGTTACAGACAAGGTCTTGTAAAGTTCCTTAGGCTGGTTTTTGAACTTGAGATTCTCATGCTTTAGCCTTCCAGGTAACTGGAATCATAGGCATGCTCCACCATATCCAGGTGTTGATCTACATTCATCAGATTTATTGACCTATAATTTTGTTATTGTCTTTGTTTGACTTTGGTATCAGGGTTATGTTGTCCTCATAAAACACGTTGTTTTCTTTTTATCTGATATGGAAATGTTCTAGAAGGTTAAGTTCACATTTGGTAGAATTCACTAATGAAGCTTCTTAGTAGTGTTACTATTGCTGTTGTTCCTGTTGGGAGGTTTTTGATGTGGATTCAGCCTTGTTACAGGCTTGTTTGTGTATATTTAAAATATTCTTTACTTCTTTGTTGAAATTCTTTATTTGTGCAGTGTACTGAGTTTGTTGAACTACCTTGTTTTCCTGAGCTACTGGTCTTGATTATCTCAGGTATTCCATACATCTGTTGCATTTGGGTCAGTCTGTAGATTTATCTTCTTTGGGTCCTAATTCTCTGTTGCACTTTTTTCTTCATTCTTTATGTTGGTATCTGTGCATTAGGGAAAACAACTACCTCTTCCATGTTCACAGACTTCCTTGAACAGAAGACTTTCACCAGATAGGTTGGCGAGAGATTTGAGAAACCTCTCTAGCCTTCTTTGTACATATATCTTCTCTGGACTTGTGTGTGTAAATTACTACTCTGAGGGATTTGCTACTTTTTTTCCCCTTAGGAATTCAAAATCACTTCTTCCTGATCTTTCTGATTTATTGTGGATCTCTGGGAGCAGGAGCATTCTTCAGGATCTTTTTTGTTTTTGTTCACAGTGACTGCAGGCACCTAAAATACGGAGTGTGTTCTGAGACAGAAGCCAATCTTTGGGCAACTTCCTGAAATTTTGGAATGTGGTCTAACTCCTGAGACAGAGCTAGGATTTAGGACTTCTTCCTCATTTGCTTTCTGCCGAACTCATGCTTGGAGAGTAGGTCCTGGCAAGTGTGTGCTTTTTCACCTGGACTTCTGCCTTTGTTCTCAAGGGTATCCAGCCTCTGGGTCCTTTGCTTTTAGTGCTGAAATTAAGGCAAGACAGAAGCCATTCCATTGGGTAGCTTCTAGACAAGTCAGGATATACTGCATGTGCTTTCCACTCCTCCCTTTATTCCTTATGTAAATGGTAGGAACTAACAGTTTCCTCCAGATCCTGTGGTGCTGTGCTACCTTTGAGGAGTAGGTTATGGCAGAAAGACACCTCAGCTTTGCCTCTTGGCTTTCTATAGCTGGGTTAGTGCTCTTCTGTGGTATGGGGCCTCTCAACTGGCTTTTGTGTTTCTCACAAAGGAGATTAAGGAAAGAGGACCTGGGCTTTCTATGTGTCATCATGGTGACATAACTTTCTTCAAGGCCTTTTCTTTTTTTAAACTGAAAAAGACCTTAAATGAATTATAGGAGAAACAAATTAAAGGGCCAGTAGTCAAAATGACATCAGACTCTCCAATAGGAACTTTGGAAGTCAGAAGATATTAGAACAATGCTTTGAATTCTAAAATAAAGATGTTGTTTTATGTAAGAATTGACAGTCTGTGTGCCTCAAAATAATGGAAGGTGTTTGCCATTAAAATGAGGAAACTAGGAAAGACTTTGGTTCAGGAAATAAAGGATCCATTATAGCAAGGCAACCCAGATTCCTAGGGAGACAACATAAATTCTCAGGGTGACAGCTAAGCAACAGGCTTGAAAAACAGCTGGAATGAAGTAGGGAAGCAGACTTTCAGGAAGTGTATTTTTTTTTTTTTTTAATGAAAAGAATAAAGATTTTTGGATGCAATTAATCATATTCATAAAAGATTTACAATTCTGTAGTACTTAGCTCATAAAGAAAAGGAAGCAGAAAAAGACTAAAACTTGCATAGTAAATAAAATCTGAGAGTATATTAATGAAGATAGGGCAGTAAATACTGTTTTATAATCAAATTATGTTAATTTTTACAGGGTTTTAAAAATTTTGGTGAAAACCATAACAATTAAAAAAACTTAACATGTGCCCTCCTAATCATTTTTTAAGTAAAGAATTTAAACTCTGTATACTGTTGTGCCACATGTCTCTGAAACTATTTCATTAACTGAATTTTAAAAGTTGTAAAAATTATTTATTTAATTATTTGATACAGGGTCTCACTATGCAGCTGGGCCTCCCCAGCACTGGGATTATAGGCTGGGATTGTGTCTGGTTTCCGTGGCCAGCACAGCATGCCTGGGAACCTGGAGCTGCCACGGCATGTGGTACTGGAGATCAAACCCAGGTCCTTGCCCTTGCCAACCAGGTGCTTAGAATGCAGAGTTATCTCCCATGCCCTCATCAGCTAACATTTAATAAGCAAGGGCAAGGTATTTCATTGTGAAGATGTATCAGTTTGTGTGCATAGCTGTCTATTTTAAACTTGGTTCCTTTTTGTAATTTGTTGTACTACTGAATGTTGTGGCTGAATCTCTGTCCCTATCCTTCACTGGGTCTTTTAAGTTCCTAAACTAGGGGAGGTACATATTCTTATTAAAGCTTAATCAGCCAGGTGTGGTGGCACACACCTGTAATCCCAGCACTCAGGAAGCAGAGGCAGGATTGCTGAGTTTGAGACCAGCCTGAACTACATGGTAAGACTGTTTATTTGTGTCACACAACAAAAAAAAATAATACCTGTTCAGTAATCTTAGTTGACTCCAGCATACACATTTCTTTTTGCGTTATGGTTTGCTGTCCAGAAGGCAGGGACATTTTGACTCAATGGATCTTGGTAGGCCTGTGTTATTCATTTTACAAAATCTTCATAAATATTTAAAAACCACTGCTTTGTGGAAGATACTTGGGAGGTAGACCATTTTAAATTAATACATTTAGAGTAAACTTTTTCTTCATCTCTAGGAACGAATGATCACACACTTTGAACGGTCCAAAATGGAATGAAGAATGGGAAGATTTGCAGTTGAAGATGACTAGTATCAAGGAAGAGATTGGCTTCTGTATGTCTTCTAGTGGTCCATGCGATTTTAGGAGACAGTGACATCCTGATCTCTTTCTTGATCTTTGTACATTGGAGCCAGTGAGAGGTGTTGGAACAAGGAGACTGTCTTATGAAGACACATTCATAGGATGAGAAAAACCTACAAGCTTCTTATTTACAACATTGATGCCCTTGTCCCTCTCAAACTTTGACACAGATGCTTATACAACTTAACATGTTGTTCCCAAACTTCCTGTGTTTCAGTTTAATCTGTCAAACTAAAGTTTAATGTCTTCTAAAGGACTATGTCATCAACACCATAGTATGTAATCTCCAAGAGCCACTGCCTGTAATTTTTATTTATTTAGGGAGTTTCATGGGTGATGGGGGAAATTGTTGCTTCTCTTTCCTTTTCCTGGGAACTCAATGTTACATCTTGTAGAGGGCCCTTCTGAGTTAAGGAGCCACGGTTCTATTAGTGATCAAAAGAAAAAAGCAGTTACAGTGAATCATTTTTAAAAAGCAGAATCAAGTGCACTTTTGTTTACAAATGGCGTATATTAAAGATTTTTGTATTTCAGATGTACTTTAAAGAGAAATATTTGCTTGACTCTTGACATCTGCTATTGTGACACATCCCATTGCTGGCAATGTGGTGCACACTCTGAAACTTTTAACTGCTGTTCTGTAAGCCTCTAGAGGTGGCATGGAGAGTCTTGCAGTGCCTGTCTGCCTGAGTGCCATTCCTTGGGCATTGTACCAGATACTGAGAGGCACCATCTATGATTGAGCACCCTGCTAGGGGGACTGTTATGCTTCAGAAATGGAAGCTTATGCAAAGGAAATGGGTTTGCTGGCTGAATCTAAACACTTATTCATGCATGAAATAGTGTGGAGACCCTGGCTGCTGCTCATTCTTTAGGATTGACTGTTCTAGTGTCTGGTGTTGGTTTAGAGACTGTTTATAAGGGACATCACAAGGTGATGGGATTCCCAAAAGTTTTGTTCTACATAAAAAGTTCATGTCATTTTTTAATATAAAAAATTTTAACAAAGTTAATACTTTTTTCTCATTTATTTCAAGCTTTCTGTAAACATCTTTCTCCCTTACTTTTTCTTGTGGGTTTTTTTCCTTTAGTTCTATTCTAGATTGTCAGATTTTCTATGGAAACTAGTGACCACAATCCTAATTTTTATTGTAGTGAAAGTGTTAACGTTTGGGTAGCATTTCTATATACCTCTTTGCTATGGTGATGTTTTTTAAAGTCACGCTGACAATGTGTCTCATCAGCAATAATATGAAGAACTATGTTCTTTTACTCTAGTAAAAGTCTGGGATAGATTTGTGTGTTGATGTGGTACCCTAAACCTCATCAGATGGAATAACAGTTACAATGTAGCAGGATAGTTGGTTAAATATTGTTTAGCCTGTTTTGATGTTAATTTGAAGCTAGATAAAAAGGTTTAACATGAGTATGTAGGACACATTTTTAGGCTGATGCCTCATAATTCTATTTATGTCTGTATTTACTGGGATTAGATATAATATGTATTTTTTAGTGTGGGTTCAGGAAGACTTGTTTCACATTGACAAATAGTAGTTAATATTATTTGTGTTCTTGGTCCTCAAACCTGGAACTGCCAGGTTATTAGACCTTTTCTGTGTAAGGGCCAGCCAAATAACTCAGCGGATTAAAGCACCTGCAAGCAGGCTCAGAAGCCAGGGGTTTGATCCCCAGGCATGCTGTGCTGGCCCTGCCCGCGGGGCATGCTGAGAAGGCAATTGAGACTGGGTGTGGTGGCACAGGGCTGTAATCCCAGCACTTGGGAGACTGTAAACAGGAGAATCACTACCAGTCCAATCTAGTAGTGAGACCCTGAACACCCTGTAGACCCTTCCCTAAAATACAAAAGAAAAAAAGAATAGACCTTTTCTGTATAATTCTTGATTTTGAAGAGGGTAATTAGCTTCTGTGGTAAAAGCCCACCAAAGGTAACAGAAGATGTGTTGAGCAATATATTTTTTTAAAACATTTTTTCTCCTTTTTTATGTATTTAGTACAGGGTCTTACTACACAGATTGGATTTGTAATCCTGAGCACTGGTATTACAGGTATGCAGCACCACGCCCATTCTCAGTTGCCCCCAGCTTGCCCTTGGGGGTCGCGCCAGCATGGCACGCCGGGGGAACCCTAGTCCCTGGGGCTGCCTGAGCAGGTGCTTTAATCCTCTGAGCTATCTGGCCAGCCCTGTTGAGTGATTTTTGTGTTTACAGCTATTTGTAAATTACTTGATTAGAACAGCATCTATTAGAGATGTGACAAGAATACTTAGTTTTATATGAAAAAAAATGGCAATATGTAAAAATGTCACCAAGACCCTTAAAAAAAAAAAAACTTTCATCCTTTTAGATCTTTGCTTTAATTTCAAAAGCTTGTTTATTACATACCTGGTGCTTTAATTAGGGGCAGTTACCAAATACAGATCATTCTTGCAGCTGAAATTCAGTTTTTAAGTCTCCACAGTGTGAATGCTGTGTTAACCCGAAAGTAAGGCCCTATCATAGGCAAGAGCCATGTCAACTTCCTTTTCTGAAAGAAATCAGGATTTAAGACACAGTTTGGGAGAGTAGAATTGGCAGCAAGCGTGTAATCAACTTAAATTTGTTTTTAACCAATTCCTGAGTTGTGGATCAAATTTTGCTCCCTAAATCCCTGCTACTCAAAATGTGGTCCAAGAAACAATTGCGTCAGCCACGTGCATAAGCTGGTTAGAAGTGCTTGACTGAGGACCCCACTGAGTCTCCTGAAGCAAAATCCCACTTTAGCATTATCTCAGTGATTTCTATGCACATTTTTAAAAAGAGACAATACAAAATAGTAAAAGAAGAATTTAGAAACAATAGAGCATTTCACTCAACCAAATAATAGGAATTTGTATAATTTTGAGAAGCATTGGTTTGGAACTTTTCACAGGTGATTTTGCCAATTAGGACTTTTAGCAAAGGGAGATGTTTTGAGTTCTATTTTTGACTCTAGGGAGGGTGCCACCTGCTGGCATCTGTCTACCTGGTAGTAAACTGCTGCCAAACAGCCTGTAATGCACGGAAACAGTGCTCCACCACCAGCAGCAACAACAAAATTACCCTCCCATAAATGTCAGTAACACTACAGTTGACAAACCCAAGCCTAGGGCAGGACTACCCAAGATTTTAAGGACATGGACTCACTTCGGAGATTATTAGATCACTGTTATTCACGATTTGATTCAGCAAAGCTGTTGTGAGGCCTGCGGCTCCGTTTTGAAGAAGTTCACAGGCAATGCTGCTCTTGGTTTATGAGTCACACTGAAACCCACTGCACTACAACTTAAAAAATGTTAAGTTTAAGGTAATTGAGGTAGTTGGGATCTGATGGTAATACTGAAGCTATTATACATTGACTGGTTAGAGTATATCAGTGTTGCCAAGTGCACACTAGGTACTTACACAAAAGCTATTTTGCAGACTAGGAAATACAGGCCAGAAAGATTAAATTTCACCAAAACCCTTCTTAAACAGTTCTTACAAATGTGACATCAACGCACGAGTTCTTAAGCATCACGTTTGTTGCTTGAGGCAGTTCTAAGATTCAAGATTTGTCCCCTCCTCAGAAGCCCGCGAGTCAAGTCTAGACCTAGATCGAGCAGCTCTGAGTACGACACCAGGGAACGTTCTCCTTGTGGGCGCTACTGCGACAGAGAGGAAGGGGCGGGGCTCCGCCGGCGGAAGGGGAGGGCCTATCATGGCAGGAAGTTCCTCGCTGAAGATGGACGTGTCGCGGGAGGGCCTGTAGCAGGCGGGGGGGGTCCCAGAGGATCCAGAGGAGCCTGGTTCTGACCACGAGCCCAACCCATTTTGGGGAGAGGTAGCAGCGGCGACTCTCACCATCGCCATGCACGACGCTTTCGAGCCGGTGCCCATCCTAGAGAAGCTGCCTCTGCAAATCGACTGCCTGGCTGCCTGGGGTGAGCTGAGTGTCCCGGGGTCGAGGCTGGGTCAGCGTGAGAGCGGCGCGGACCTTTCGCTAGGCTAGAGCAGTGGACCGGCGTCTGGCTGTGTAGGCCCCTGTCGGATGCTGTAAGAGAGCGGTCCGAGATGAAGGAAGGCAGAGATGATTGTGGGAGCTGTTTGGGCGATCTCTGAGTACTCAAGTCTTTTAGGGACCTACTACCTGCGCTGTGCAGTTAGAGGTTGAAGTCTGTTAATTGCGCTGTTTTGGGCCCTTTTCGAATCCCAAGAAGTCATCAGTGCAGAAGTGCGAAGTAGTGAGAAGGCATTCTGCCAGGCGTTTGTACTTGTCAGATGGTAGTGTTATTTTCTAGGTGAAAGGCGGTTTATTGAGGATGAAATACATGAACACCGTATGTTTTTTCTCCCTTAGTGTGCACTCATAATTCACTTTTCCTTGCTGTAAGTAGCTCATATAAGTAATATCCTAATGCAACCAAGTGTCTTATATTCAAAGAACTCAAATTGCCTAACCCTGTAGGTGGAAAAGCATCATACCAGACTGTTGTGAATCCTAGCTCCTATAACCTTGTATAATCTTGGGGTTGACTAGTGCAAAAGCAGAGTTAAGTACCTCCTGTGTGTTCTGGAGTACAACATGAAGATTTCAGTGGTCTAAGCAAACCTTGGCTGTCAGCTACAAACATTGTGCACCTGTCTATGGATGGTTATGTTTGATAACAGTCCCCAGAAATCAAATAGATATAATTTCAGTCACTCTTGTTAATGTCCAGGTCCTGGAAATCAAGGGTTATAAAAAGATGATTTAGAACCTTTATCATCTCTTATTCCGAGCCAGGTAACCATTATGGAATCTTTGATTCCATAACAGCAGCCCCATGGAATATTGGTTGCTGGGATGCTATGCTTCTCCCCTGACAGTCACTCCCCCTGCTTACAGAGTTTGTCATAGCCCCCTGAGTAGGAGTTTTTCACTATAAATCTTCATGTTGCGGTTTGTTTGTTTTCTGAGACAGGATTTCACTGTGCAGTTCAGGCTGACTTTAAACTCACTTCGTAACCCAAGCTAACCTTGAACTCTGAGCAATTCTCCTGCTACAGCCTCCCAAAGTGCGCACATTACAGTGTGTACCACTACACCAGCTAAATCTTCATGTTTATGTGTGTCCTCCTCTACAGAGAGCCATGGGCTGCTCTAAAATCACCCCTCCACAGGAAGCTGTAGTCCTTTGGATTAGGGAAAGAATTTTATTTCCTCTCCACACCTCAAGAAAACTTCCATTTCATGGAGGAAAAATTAATAGAGGAAGTTGAACGGGATGAAAGACCTGAGACTGCATGGAAGGATTCATTTGCTTCATCAAATATATATTTGGTGCCTATGTGGACCATTGTCTGCCAGGGACAGGAAAAGAATACAAACATGAATAAGAAACAGGGCCTTGAGTGCTGTAAGCCAGATTTGGAAAGATTGAATGTTCTACTTAATGTGTGGAATCTAACAAAGATGTCAAAAAAGCAGAGGGGAGACTATTAATAGACAAGAGGAAGTAAAGGAGAAAAGGGGAGGTATTGTAATGGCAGATAATGGAGGGCATGAACATGATCAAAATACATTATGCACATTGAATCTTCACCCATATGTAAAACTAGTAGGGAAGGTAGGGCAAGTGGAGCAGTGGGTGGGAAGTAGCTAAAATATTTTACTTATTTTTTTGAAGGTTTGGTTATTTTGTGGCTGGCTCAGCCCACCCTGGGGGCGTGGCTGGCGTGGCATGTGGTGCTAGGTATTGAACTGAAGTCCCTGCATGCTTGCCTAAGCTTGCCTAAGCAGGCACTTTAGACTGCTAAGCAATCTCACCAGCCCTAAAACATATACAAAATGAACCCCATCAGCCTATTTACCAATACCCTCTAATAAAAAAATTGTGTGTGAGGGGGAGAGAAACAGTCCTGTACTGCTGAACACAGTGAGGAATAAAAACACATGAAGATATGTTAAAAGATAAATGATACTAGAGACATATGCTGCTTATTACTGCAATGTGTAGGATGGGTACCCAGCTCAGCCTGAGATACATACTTCTGAGATAGATGGGTTTAGCTGCTTATCACACTTTGTCAGAATCTTTGACTCTGATGTCCTGTGGGACCATATATCTCTTAGACTGTCTCGCTAACGCAACTTTGTCTCATTAGAAATTACTCATTCCTGTGTGTTTCTAAAGGAACAAAGTTTTGAACTTTTTGCTTGCCTTCGCTCACCAAACAGGACTGATGCCTTTACTAGATGTTATGGTGGATAATGGACTACAGAAGTCCATGTACTTCCTCTTGCCTCAAAACTATATTTTCAGATGTCAGCACCAAGAATTATTGCAATTTCTAGTCATTATCCCCTTGTATCTACATTCATCCAGGACCCTGCAGGAGTCATATCACGAAGAACCAAAATTTGAGCTGGAAGGTCTTGCTGACTGCGTAATCCATTTCTTGGAAAATGGAAATGAGGATGACACCAGTGGTTTCCGCCTCAAGTTCAGAGTTGCTTTTTCATTTGGATGTTTAGTAGCATGGCTAAACCCATTCAAAACAAGTCTGTCTCCTGCATCCCACATCTCAACAAATGGGATTTCTCTTTACCTCTTTGACAGAAACCTTGGAATCATTCTTGACTTCTTTCATTCTCTTTTATAATATATGCAGTCCATCAGCAAGCTTTGTGTGCTCTGCCTTCAGAACAAATCTAGGATCTGTTCTTTTTGTTCTGTCTCTGCTATTACTATTTTTTTTTAATTTTTATTTATTTGTGTGTGTGTGTGTGTGTGTGTGTGTGTGTGGCCAGCTCAGCCCACCAGGGGGCGGGACAGGCTGGCATGTGGTGCTGGGGGATTGAACCGTGGTCCCTGTGCTTTGCTAAGCTTGTTCTAAGTAGGCGCTTTAGACCACTGAGCCATCTCACCAGCCCCTCTGCTATTACTATTGATGAAGGCACCATCATATCTCATCTGAATTACTGAGTAGTCTTCTGAGTTTTGCTATTTGCCTTTGTGTCATTTTCAGTTTTTTTTATGTACACAGAGATGGAGTCAATCTTTGAAAACCTAAATCAGATCATAACTCTCTTCTGCTTAAAACCTTACAGTTGTTATCACAGCTAGAGTAAATTCCAAAGTGATTAACCATTGTAACAACCAACATGATCAAGCCATGGTTACTTCCTTGCCTTAATCTCCTGTGGCTTAACCCCTTACTCCTTTCTGGTACTGGTCAGTCTTTCTTATTCCATGATAGGCAGAGCACATACCTACTTCAGGTCCTTCGCACTTGCTGGTTGTTCACTTGCCTGGATACCATTTGGGTCATGCCTACATGTCTGGTGAAATGTCACTGAACAGCAAAACCTCTTTCCTAAGTAGTCTATAAAAGAGAATATGATATCCATCAGTATACTGTTCTCTTACCCTTGTTGTTAGCTTGGATAACCACTCAAGGTTATTTTACATAGTTATTACTGTTACTGTCTGCATTGAAAAATCAATTCCTTCAGAGCTGGAACTGGGTTTTGTTTATTGCTGTATCTCCAGTGCCTTGAACAGCTCCTAGCCCAATGAAAGTTTGCTTAACTAATGAATGATATTAATATTTATTTTTGGTATTAGTAACTTTCACTAATCTATTTTTATTTCATTTTATTTATTTTTTCTTTTTTTGTGTTTAGTATAGCGTCTACAGGGTCTCACTACACAGATTGGACTTGTAGTGATCCTCCTGTTTTCAGCCTCCCAAGCTCTGGGGTTACAGGCTCATGCCACCACACCCAGTCTCAATCAATGTCTCAGCGCACCTTGGGGGCAGGGCCTGCACGCCTGGGATCAAACTTCAGGTCCTTGCGTCTGCCTAAGCAGGTGCTCTAATCCACTGAGCTATCTGGCCAGCCCCTAATCTATATTTATGAATATACATTCATATTTACTTACATTTTCCTAAGAAACAATGGAAGGACAAACTCAAAATTGTTAAATCTTACCTATAGCAGAAAGGAGAAGGAAAAAAAAGGGAAGGAGAGGTAAGGGTTGAATGGCAAATGATCAAAAATAGACTTCTTATAGTTTTGGCTTTCCAGTATTAAAAAACAAAATTAAGGGTTGGACATATAGTTCAGTGGTACAGTGTTTACCAGCATGTGTAAAACTCTGGGTTCGACCCCTAGTACCACACCTATATAAACTCACAAAATATATGTATGAATATGAAATATATATAAATAAATTTATACATATAGCTTCTGCCTCCCCAGAATCATTGAATCACAATCTCTGGATGCAGGGCTCAGGAATTGGCTTTTTTTCTTTCTTACCTGGGGGGTCGAACTCAGTGTCTTCACACTGAGCTACAGCTCCCAGCTGTTTTGTTTTCTTTGCTTTTTTCTTCTCTTTTCTTACTTCTGTGGTATGGGGATGGAGTACAGGGCCTCGTGCATGTGAGGCAAATGCTCTACTACTAGCTATATTATGAGCTTTTATTTTTTGTTTTGAGACAGGGTCTTGCTAAGCTGCCCAGGCAGGGCTTGAACTTGTGATCATCCTACTTCAGCCTCCTAAGTTCTATACAGGAGTTTGCATTTCTGATAAGTCTAGATGATTCTGATACAGCTAGTCAGGGGAATGTACTTTGATAAACCCTGTTCAAGAAGGAAGGTGACCACTACTTAGTCACTGCTGAGTTCCCTATTGTATCCAGCACGGGACCAGCTGTGGGACTGTCTGTTACGTGAAGTTGGGCTACACTGCATTGTTGGAGGGAGCTTCATTAGGGTAATTATGAGCAAGAGCGTCCAGCTTTGTTTTCCAGGAAGGACCCAGGTCAGCCATGTGGCCCATCATTAGGCCATTATGAGTTCTCTAGGGATGACTGGCTAATTTATGTGTGCACAACCTATTTGTGTAACATGTCCCACTTTCATGTGTGCAGCATTTGGTCTCAGAAGGCTGCCGAGCCCATTCTGTGCCTGCCTTACAGGCTTGGTCTCAGAGTTGGGTCTTCTGCCACCTGAGCTTGACCTCTGTAAGCAAAACAGCCGGCTTCAGAATTTCTTGCCATTAGCATAGCCTGGTGGCCCACTACCTGTCATGATAGTTTGGAAGGAGGAATGAGCATGTGGGTGCTGTCTTCACTATTTTAAAAAAGGTGTTTAAATATTTTGCATGAATGATAAATTATTTTTCCTCAACATATATAAAAGTTAAAAATGTTTTTAATTTCAGTAAATGTAATCTGATTTTCTTTTATGACCATTTAAGCAGATATTATTTGTTTGAGTCTCACTGTGTGGTTCAGAATGAACTTGCTATGAGGCCTGGAACTCCCTTCCTGCCTCAGCCTCCCAAGTGCTAGAATTACGGACATGCACCACCACACCCAGCTGCTTAGCTATTTCTGGAATATAAACATTCCTTAGTTTTCCAAGTCATCTACTATCAAAGGCAACTCATTTTCTTGACCAGCTGATTAAGGCCCAGCTAAAGAAACAGAGTTTTTAGTAAAACCTGCAATGTTGACCTTTCTCTTGGCACTTTTACCTTGCAGAAGAATGGCTTCTTGTTGGAACCAAACAAGGACATCTTCTTCTCTATAGGATTCGGAAAGATGTTGGTAAGTGACAAACTTTCCAGACCCAATAAAGAAATGGGAAGAAATGGCTTATTACATATTCAGTTAAAAAAAAAAAAAAAAAGTCTAGATGACTAGTGTACAGAGATGAAATCAGTGATTCCTGGATCATGAAAGACCGATTAGGGGTCGGAGGGAGCACAGTTGGAAATGGGAAGAAATGTGAGGCTCTTCAGGGTTTTACTTGGTCTCACTTCCTAAACTGTATTCCTCACTCCCATATGGAAGGTAGGGTTAAATGTTTCTCTCCTTTTGCTTCCTATAGATTCACTACTAGTAATAAAAAAAATTTACCGTCTGGGCATAAGAGTCCTGTGTAAAATGTGTATGTTGTAGGAGGGAGAAAATTTGGGAACTATTGGTTTCAGAAGATCTTATGAATTTATCATGGTTAGACTGTGAAAAGAGGACCTGGCTTTGTGTCCAGTTTTACTTCTCCCTGTCTCATGACTGTAGGCAAGTCCTTTCCAGTGTCAGGTTTCTGTTCTGTAAGCTGTCTTGTCTATTTCTCCAGGCTGTTGGGGGAAGATAAAATAATAGGCAGAAAGGGCTTTGAAACTAATGTCTGATCATATGTGACTTTTTCAATAATAATGTAGAATAATAACTAAAATATTTGAATTTTTTTTCTGCTGAAGAATATCCTTTAGCTGAGTGTAGGGGTACATGGTTGTAATCTTAGCACTGTTGGGAGGCTGAGGCAGAAGGATTGCAAGTTTGAAGCCAGCCTCAAATATAGCAAGACCCAATCTTCTTCTTTTGTGAGGCAAGGCCTCACTATTCAAGGCTGGCCTTGGACTGACTGTGTAGCCTAGGCTGACTTGGCAGCAGTCCTTCTGCCTCAGACTCTCAAGTGCTAGGATTACTAACATGCCTGGCACAAGACCCAGTCTTTAAAAAAAAGGAAAAAGAGAAAAAGCATCTTTTGTTGGCATAAAAGTATCTTACTCCCTCTTCCTAATTGTGTGCTGCTTTATGAAAAATTGATGTGTGAATGTTATGCTTACACCCACAATCCATAGAAATCTATTGTTAATGCCAAGCATGTCAAAACAAATTGCAATTATCCAGCTGTATTAGACCAGCAAAAACAGTTGTTTAATAGGTATGACATAAGATATGATATATGTATACATATATATATACATGTACGTATATATACATGTATCATCTTATGTCATACCTTTCAACATGAGATATATTTCCATAGTAACTAAGTTAAGGTAAGAGTGGAAATAGAGGACCGAAACAAAGGTTACATAACACAGGGAAGAAAGAGCATCTTCCTGGGGCAGGAGGAGAGAGGAAGGCAGGCTGGCCAGAGAAAGAGAAATCAGAGAACAAAGTAAATCAGACTTGTTGAAGGTTCACATAGTAAATATTATGGGCTTTGTGACTCATAAGAGGCCTATTGTGATTGTTTTGCTCTGCCATTTTAGCCTAAGCTAAACCATAAACCATTTGTACATGAGAAGCATGGCTGTGTTCCAATAAAACTTTATTTATAAAAACACAGAGGGCTAAGTTTGTCCCATGGGCAGTACTTTGCAGCTGCTTATTTTTAATTTTTATTTCTCAGAACCAGATTACTTGCTGAGGTGGGGGATCTTTTTTGAGACAGGATGTCACCTCACTATGCAGTTCTCACTTTGTAGCCCAGGCTGGTCTTGAACTTGCAACAAGTCTCCTGACCCAGCCTCCCAAGTACTGGGATTACAGGTGTGCACCACCATGCCCAGCTGATTATTTGAATTTTGTAACATACACCTGGTCAGTACTTTTTAAATTAAGCTAGGGGGTCTGGGGGTGTAGTGTTTATTCTCAGCTCACAAGGTTTATTCTCAGCTCAGGAAAAAAAAAGGGTGTTTAGATTTTATTTAGCATTTTTTTCCTGTCTTGTTTTGTTTTACTGTGTATTGAGCTTTGATACAAATAATGAGAACTGAAAGCTAAACTATGATTCCTTCTTGGCCTTTGGCTAAGATCAAATTTAGAAAACTAGACTATAAAAGTAAACCTTTCAAAGCAGCGTACACTCAAACTGATGATTTAATGTTCATTTGACTTTAAGTCCTGGTCTGAAGAATGACCATTTCCTGCCTGTGCAGATCGCCATGTGGCCTTTGACAAGTTTCTCCATCTTCTTGGGCCTCCATTTTTCCATAGGTAACTTGAAGAGCACTGCTAACCTCCCCATGGCACTTAAAGAAACCCAAGTATAATTTGAAACTTTGAGAAGCTTCCCCTCACCCTCTATCTATAGAATTTCTAGTCATACTCAGACCTACCTCTGGGCTGGGTGGGGCAAAAATAGACCTAGGCCTCTGAATTAGTCTTGAGACAGTTTGGTGTCTAGGTTTGAGAGCTCAAAGCACCCTGACATCTAAACCAACGAATTCCTGGCAGCTGCCCTAGTCCTAGATCCCAGGGACAGAGTGATCATGTGACGCCACCTCCAGAGCTAGCCCACTTGGTGATCTATGCTTACTGCTGCTTTCAGGTGATGCTACACTGCTGGCACTGTTGCAAAAAAGGGAAAGAAGGTTATAAACATAAAAACACGAGAATTCAGCTTTGTTGATAACAGTGACAGTATTCAGTCTCAGAAGTCAGCATGACATCAAATAAAATACTAATTATCTTAGTTAACAGCAGCTATCCCTAATCAACAACAGATACCATACCAGGTTTTGGGTTTGAAAAATTGCGTACTTTTTTCTGTAGCCTCCCATGACCCCCAAGAAATAGGTTCCTGGTTCCTATCTGAGGGGTCTGGTAGGTTAAGCACTTAGGAAGCAGCCATTGCGAGATGAGCCTGGACATAAACCTGGCCCTCACCCAGGGCCACAGCTCACTATGCTCCTCCAACTTGCGGAAGGAAGCGACAGCCAAGCCTGCTTCCCACAGCCGAGCTGGTTTCCCACAGCTTGCCACACTGGCAGGAAGCTGGTGGAGACCATAAAACTGCCACGTAAGCCAGTCCTCCTTCTGTGAGTCCTTCAGCAGAAGAGATAGACAGGCCCTACAGCTGGGAACATGGTATTCTGCCACCACATTTTATAAGAAAAAATTCTGCTTGAGGAAACGATGGGTTCTCACAGCTGTTACAGTACACTGAGCTCCATGGGGACAGCACCGGGGCAAGTGAGAGCTGGACAGGCACTGGGTGACTCTACCTCGTTGAGGAAAGCAAGTAAACATGGGCAGAGGAGATCCTAAGAAGCTGAGAGGCCATATACCAATGATTTCTCAGTATTTTTCTTGCCTTATTATTTCAAAATATATTAAATAATGAATTTAAATCAAAATTCCTGTTAAAACAAACTTGTACATTAAAAAAAAAAAAAAAAAAAACTGAGAAGCAAGATGTCATCCTGTGTATTCTTTGTGCAAACTTGCCGAGAGGAACACAAGAAGAAGCACCCAGATGCTTCCATTAACTTCTCAGAGTTTTCTAAGAAGTGCTCAGAGAGGTGGAAGACCATGTCTGCTAAAGAAAAAGGAAAATTTGAAGACATGGCAAAAGCAGTCACTCCACTACCACCCCACCAAAACCACACATAAATTTGCAACAGGGAAAAAAAGAACTAAAATTTCCAAGGCCCTGCTTTTTTTCTTAAAAGTACTTTAAAAAGGAAAATTTATTTGTATTTTTTATTCACATTTTATATTTTTGTACATATTGTTAGGAGTCAGCCAGTTTTGATGATCCGCGGATGACCAAACCAGCCTTCGGAGCGTCCTTTGTCCTACTTCCAACTTTACTTTACTTGTGGTGTGACCATGTTCATTATAATCTCAAAGGAGAAAAAAAAAACCTTGTAAATAAAAAGCAAAAACAACAACAACAAAAAACAATCTTATTCTGAGCATTCCAGTAACTTTTTTTTTTGTATGTACTTAACTGTACTATAAGTAGTTGGTTTGTAGGAGATGGTTAAAAAGGCCAAAGATAAAAGATTTCTTTTTTTCCTTTTTTTGTCTATGAAGTTGCTGTTGATTTATTTATTTTTTTGGCCTGTGTGATGTATGTGTGAAACAACGTTGTCCAACAATAAACTGGAATTTTATTTTGCTGAGTTGTTTTAACAACAACAACAAAAAAAGCGGACAAGGCTCATTATGAAAGAGAAATGAAAACTTACATTCCTCCTAAAGGAGAAACAAAAAAGAAGTTCGAGGATCCCAATGCACCCAAGAGGCCTCCTTTGGCCTTCTTCATGTTCTGTTCTGAGTATCACCCAAAAATCAAAGGAGAACATCCTGGCCTCTCCATTGGTGATGTCGCAAAGAAACTTGGAGAAATGTGGAATACTACTGCAGCAGATGACAAGCAGCCACTGCTGAGCTGAAGGAGAAGTATGGAAAGGGCATTGCCACCTGTTGGGCTAAAGGAAAACCTGATGCAGCAAAAAGGAGTCATCAAGGCTGAAAAAAGCAACAAGAAGGAAGAGGAGGAAGATGAGGAAGATGAGGATGAAGAGCAAGAAAAAGAGGAGGAGGAGGAGGATGAATAAGTTGGTTCTAGTGCAGTTATTTTTTCTTGTCTAAAGCATTTAACCACCCTGTGCACAACTCACTCGTTCTGAAGAACAAAAAAATTGAAATGTAAGGCTGTGTAAGATTTGTTTTTAAACTGTACAGTGTCTTTTTTTTTTTTTTTTGTATAGTTAACACACTACCGAACGTATCTTTAGATAGCCCTGTCCTGGTGGTATTTTCACTAGCCACTAACCTTGCCTGGTACAGTATGGGGGTTGTAAATTGGCATGGAAATTTAAAGCAAGTTCTTTCTTGGTGGTGCACAGCACAAATTAGTTATGTATGGGGATGGTAGTTTTTCATCTTCAATTGTCTCTATTACAGCTTATATGAAATAATTATTGTTCTGTTAACTGAATACCACTCTGTAATTGAAACAAAAAAGTTGCAACTGTTTTGTTGACATTTTGAATGTTTCTAAGTAAATATAATTTTTTTATTAAAAAAAAGGAAATGATGTATAGCTATAAAGGGCCTTATTGCATTCAGCAATTCTTTGTGTAAGCAGAATTCTGTAGGTCAGAGATTCTCAAACTTTTTGGTATCAGGGCCCTTAATAATCTTAAAAATTACTGAAGACCCCAAAAAACTTTCATGTGGACTAACTACAAATTCTTATCACATGAGAAGTTAGGAAAACATTTAAAGTCTATTAATTCATCATTATATTTAAAATGTATACTTACTAACTCAACTCAAAGTAACAGTAATAAGTCCACTACATGTTAGCATAAACAATATAGTTTCATGAAAGATTTTTTTTCCAAAAAATAATTATTATTTTACACTTATTTTTATTTTATTTATTTATTTATTTTGTATTTTAGGGAAGGGTCTACAGGGTGTTCAGGGTCTCACTACTAGATTGGACTGGTAGTGATTCTCCTTTTTATAGCCTCCCAAAAGCTGGGATTATAGGCACGCATCACCAATCCCATTCTCAATTGCTGTCTCAGCGTGCCCCGGGGGGATGGGGCTGGCACAGCAGGCCCAGGGATCGAATCCCTGGCCCCTGTGCCTGCTTGCAGGCACTTTAATCTGCTGAGCTATTTGGCCGGCCCTCAAACCTAAACTTTTGTAAATGCTACACAAGCACTGTACAACGGAGCTACATTCCTGCAGTTAATATGTTTCGATGTGTAGCTTTAGTTGAAATATTTGACAAAAATTTGTCCTCACTAGGTGTATAGTTTAAAAGGCAGAACTATTTTAACAGATTTTTTTTTTTTAGATAATTATGGATCTTCTTTGATACCATACAAAACTTTAGCACATAGTTTATTGTAGAATCAATCTCAAGCCCATGAAGAAACTTTTTATATTCTGCTTAGAGCTGGATTTCTTTGCTTGGGCTCTTATATTTGACTTCTTACATTGTTTCTTGTGACACCCTTGGCCAGCGTACTTGCTATGTAGAGGGAGATCTTCAGACTTAGCCTCAGTAAACTTTTGTGATCTTTTTTTTCTGCTGATGCTGAAAACTTTTGTCCTAAATACTTGGCATTGAAAGGAACTACTGTGCTTAGTAAAGACTGCTGGCAAATCTCCTGACTTTAGTCTTGAGGATTTTTGAAGGTTTGTGTACGAAGAGAACAGTATAAGCATTATTTTTGTTGTGGTTGCCTTTATCGGTATCCTTGTATTTAGAGATTTGCATATGTACTTCTTTTTCATAGGTTGCAACAGATTTGAAGTAACTCTAGAGAAATCCAATAAGAATTTCTCCAAAAAGATTCAGCAGGTAAGGAGTGATGATGGGTGCTACAAGTATATTTGACGTATGTGACACCCTGCTGGATTAATTTACCTCTTTGTTACTATAATGAAATGCCTGATACAGGCTGCCTTATAAAGAAAAGAGATTTGTTTAGCTCACATTCTGGAAGTTCAAGGGCGTGGCATCAGCACCTGCCCTGCTCTGACAAGGCTTCCTTGCAGGAGCACAGAGAAGAGGGAGAGATCATATTTCCAAGCATGCAGCCAGAGAACGTTCTTTGTAACAAGCCTCTCCTGTGTCTAATATAAGAGTCCCATGAGAACTGCGATAGTCCCTTCTGAGTCCACTTCCAGTGATCTAAGCACCCCCCCTCACCCCATCTCTTAATATTACCACCCTGGAGACCAAGGTTCCAACACCTGATATAATCAAATCATCCCCAAGCCAGGATGCCAGGCAAGCTAGAACTCTGATGTTATTTATTAACGCTGTGAATCCTCTTCTCTCTGCCCTTCCATTCATGCAGTATTCTCTGCCCATATATCATGCACCTAAATCCTCTTTCATACTAGAAATTGTGGTTACACATTAAAATGAGTCACACTCCTATGACTGGTTAGGCTCTTTAGTCCCTTTTTAGCACTGTTGTTAAATGAACATTTGTTAAATCTTGCCTAGAATGTTTAATTTTGTTTAATTTGCTATTTTCTAGATCCATGTGGTTTCCCAGTTTAAGATTCTGGTCAGCTTGTTAGGTAAGAAAAGGGGTTGCATTTGTGTTTTGGGAGCTAAAAGACAAAAATTGACTTAACTAGTCATTTTGTGGTTAATCTGGTAGTGATTACCTTTATAATGAATTGGTATATTCCAAACCAGAAATAGCCCGTGGCTAAGAAAGATAGGATCTGCCATAAACAAACTGTGTTCTGCAAGGATTCTCATTGCATCCATTTAGCCATAAATTAAGTACTGTCTTGATTGAGATGTGCGTTGTTCGAAGTCTAAAGTAGACATTGGTAATAACAAGTTTAGTGAGGCATTGTTTCTATCTTTCATACTTGTATTTAGAATATGAGGACTGAGGGCTGGGGAAATAGCTCGACAGTCTAAGCATCTGTCTGGCAAGTGCAGGGACCCAAGTTCAGTCCCTGGTACCACATGCTGTGCTGGCCCCAGAGCCCCGGGCACTCAGTGCCAGCCACTGAAATTGGGTGTGGTGGCGCATGCCTGTGATCTCAGTACTGGGGAGGCTGAGACGGGAGGATCACTATGAGTGAGATCCTGTACCAAATAACTAAATAAGATATTTTTTAAAAATTAAGAAAATAGAATATGAGGACTGAAGTAGCAAAGTAATAGTAATACAAAGTAGTGAATACAAGTAGAACTTTATAAAATGTACTATGGGGCCAGGTATGATGGTGCTTTCCTTTTTTTTTTTTTTTTTTTTTTTAAGAAGGCATACTTTTTTGTTAATTGAATGGAGTTCAGACGTGTGCTTTCCTTTTTTTTTTTTTTTTGTCCTGGGAATCAAGCTCAGGACCTTGAACTTGCCATGCAGGAGCTATGCTATTGAGCCATATCCTTGGCCTGGGTGGTGCTTTCTGAGAGGGTGAGGCAGAAGACTAGAAGTGAGGCCAGTCTCTGTGATTTAAACTTAGCAAAACCCTGACCTGGTAATGTGAGAGACTGCATTGTTTAGTGGATTATCAGGATATCTACAGAAAGAGAGATAGGCAGCACATTGCAATCAGAAGGAACAATTTGTGCAAGGCCTTACAGCATGGACACATGGCACATGGTTCATTGTGGCCAGGCTGAGGACTTAATAGAGTGACAAGCTATGAGGTGAGAGGCAGGTGGAATCAGACTGCTCAGGGTATGTAAGAAGCCATGGTTTCATGGGAGGCAGCCTGTAAGGCCTTTTCTTGACAAGCAAAACTTATCTCACACTCTGCTTAGGACCCAAATAGTAGTCATTGTCCACTTAGTTCCTAAGGCTAAGGATGTACATTTAAGGCAACAGCTCTCCTGGCTGAAACTAGATAGGCCGGGGTGGAGTCTGCTGTCCCTCTGATCCGCAGTTTCCTTCCTGAGGTCTCAGTTACCTGTGGTCAGCTGTGAGTTTGAAAGAAGGGCAGCCAGGACAGTACAGGAAGGTATTTTGAGAGACAAATACTGCATTCACCCATTCTTTTTGTTATAGTATAATTTTTAATTTTATTACTAGTTACTGTTTTTCATTTCTTCATCTAATTTATAATTTTATTGCAGGTATATATAGGAAAACCATAGTATATGTGTAGGGTTCATTATTATCCCAACTCAGGCATCTGCTGGGGGCTTTGGAACTAAGTAGTCTCAGAGGGGACTGCTGTACTTATATTGCTAGCTTGGCTTGGGTGAAATCCTTGCCATGGGTTCATGCAAAATCCACAGACTTCCTTTTCCTATGTAAATAAATGGTGTTGAAAACTATTTGTTGTATAATTACTTTATCACAAATTTTCAGGCTTGGGAAGGGCAAGGTATAAAGTGCTTTGGACATGAGAGGGCTCTTCTACTCAAGTCAGCCCAAACTTTTAAGGACCAAAATAGCCAAGTTGAGAAGACCAGGTGACTTCTGAAATGTATGAGCTGGTAGCATCCCAGAATAAATCCTTGTTTGTTAAACTGAAGCTATGTCTTCATGCAGTGTCTGCCGTTTGGTGGTTGCTGGTGTCACATGATTACCTTTTTCATCTCAAAAGCGGCTGTACTAGAGAAGGGTGGTCACTTCTAGTGACATCTTGCTTCCTTCCAAACAGAAAACAACATTTATGTCCATGATCTGTTAACATTTCAACAAATCACCACAGTATCAAAGGCAAAGGGAGCATCGCTCTTCACCTGTGACCTCCATGTGAGTACACTGAGAAGGAATGTGACCTCATGCTGTGTCAGTACAGTGTTCCCTGCCTTCACACCATTCTGTGGGGAAATGGTATTGGTGACCCAGGCCATGGGACTTGGAAGAGAATATTGGAGTGGGGATTGTCATGGAGAGATTTCCCGTATAGTACATGCTGTGAAGTTGAGATGATTGCATTCCTTGTGTGTCCTAATTAGAAAGCTAGATGTCTGGGGGCTGGGGAGATAGCTCAGTAGAATAAGTGCTTGCCTGGCAAGCGCAAGGGCCTGAGTTCAGTCCCCAGTTCCGCCAAAAAAAAAAAAGAAAGAAAAGGAAAAAAAAATAGAAAGCTAGATGTCTGGATGTGATAATTACTCATTCAACTCTCATAGAAGCCCGCCATACACTGTTAGTGAGAAAGCGAAAATATGACAGTATCATGAACATAACTATCATGTTAAATTGACTTGTGTTAAACAGATCACTGAGGGGGGGAGTTTTTGTTGTTCAAAAATGACATCTCTGGGGCTGGTGAGATAGTTCAGCAGTTAAAGTGCCTGCCTGGCAAACACAAGGACCTGGGTTTGATCCCTGGTACTGTATGCCCTGCTGGCCCTGGAACCCTGGGCATGTTGAGCTAGCCACTGAAACCAAGCATGGTGGCACGTGCCTGTAATCCCAGCACTGGGGAGGCTGAAACAGGAGGATCACTACGAGTCTGAACTGCGTAGGGAGACCCTGTACCAAAAAAAAAAAAAAAAAAAAGACATCTTGATTTTGCTAATCCATGTTCCTTACATTCTTCAAAATCTGCCTCACATCACCAACCGTGATCTCTTCAACATGTATGCTCCACCCTACTATTGCGTTATCTTTTTTTTAAATTAATTTTGTTGGCATCTTTTAGATATACATATACCATTCATCCTAGGGAATTTGTACCTGTACTTGATACATCTTAAATCTTTTTTTTCTTATTCCTCTCCACTCCCTTGATACTGCATTATTTTATACTTAGGTTTTTCTTTTCCCAACTCCTTTAAAGGGATAAAGCTGAGTGTGGTGGCACATGCCTGCAATCCCAGCACTTGAGAGGCTTGAGGCAGGAGGATTGCCATGAGTTTGAGACCAACCTGGGCTACATTAATGGGTTCAAGGCCAGCTTGCACTATATAGTGAGACCCTATCTCAACCTTTCCCCAAAATTAAATAAAATAAAGAGGCAATAGTGGGCCCAGGATCCGTGGCATATGCTGATCCTTGCTCACTCATGATAGTCATAATCAAGAGACATTTAAGACCAAAGGAGGAAGCGTTCATGTAGGCGAAGGCCTACCCTGGGGCTTTGCTCTGTGTTGTCCATGTCCCTGTGCTGCTGGACTCTTTGGCTGGTGCGACTTGGGGATGAAGCACTCTTGGGTTTCTGGGGACACCTAGGAGGACAGTGGGTTCTCTCCAGCTTTGCTGGCATGATGGCTTGATGCTACAGGGGACTTTAAGCTTAGTTGCTGTTTGAAGGTAGAAAATCTCTGATGTAGTTGTCACCAACTTACAGAGTTGTCTTCTGCGCACTCATTTGCTGTGGATCTCTCTTCCCAGCACACGGAGACTGGTGAGGAGGTGTTGCGGATGTGTGTGGCAGTAAAAAAGAAGCTACAGCTCTATTTCTGGAAGGACAGGGAATTTCATGAATTGCAGGTGAAGTCCACTATTAATGGGTCTCTGGGCTGGGTGGGGGGTGCTGGTGTGGACAGCCTATAGTTTGAAAGAATTCCTGTTTGGTTGAAGTGGAGCTTAGCATTCCAGCTTACACTCTTCCCCACCCTAATACTCGGTATAAAGTAGCTGAGAGCTTGTTCATGTCCACCGGTGATATAATTCTGTAGCTTTTGTAGAGACTAGTTTATTTCAAAGTGGGCTTTATCTTCTCCAAATGCACTTTGCCCCATCACTGGGTGACTTCTTTTTTTATTAGGCATAGTTTCCTGGCAGTGTGCTAGGAAAATTGTGTCCAGATGGGGTGAGGATTATTTTGCAGGGTAGAAGTGAAATAACAGTTCATAAATTGTATTCTTTTTTTTCTCTCGTCGTTTTCTATTTTAATGTCTTTTCACCTGAATTTGTGTTCTCTTTTCAGGGGGACTTCAGTGTATCAGATATGCCCAAGTCTATGGCCTGGTGTGAAAATTCTATCTGTGTAGGTTTCAAGAGAGACTATTACCTAATAAGGGTAAGAATTATGATTGTGTAAATCTCATGATTGTATCTTGGGAAAGATGATTATGAACTAAAGTCAGAAGATGAACTTAATTAGAGCTTTTGGTGTATCAAGGTTTTTTGTCTGTTTGTTTATTTTTTATGTTGTTAGCATTTTTCACAAGTAAGATGTCTGAGTAATTTAAGCCAAGCAGTGTTACCTGTCAGTTCTCTACCTAGTGATTTTTCACAGCATACATGTAATTATTAGGACTGCTCAGTAGGGCTGCTAACATTTGCCCCGCTATCCTCATTCATTTAAGTTTTTTTAGGACTTTGAATCTCCTGCCTCCCCACATCTCACAGTATATTGGTTTTAAAACTTATTTTTGAGCTGAGCATGGCTGCACTTGTATGTAATTCCAGCACGTGGGAAGGATCACTATGAGACTGAGGCCGACCTACCTACATAGAAAGGCCCTATCTCAAATTTTATTCGCTGTTTTCTTTATTTCAAAAGCTACATATGTGGGGCTGGGGATATAGCTGAGCAGCACTGATTCTGAATTCAGTTCCTGATACAGGGGTATGGGGAAGCAAAGCTACATTATGTGTATTATTTTAAAAAATAACAAAATCTCGATAAGGAAATAAAGGAAGTACATATCATCTGGAATTCCCCATTCAGACAAAAAATTGTTACCTGATGCAGAGTTTGCAAACAAAAACAAATTTTTTGGGAACCAAATTGTTTGCAAACAAAAGTACTTGTGAGTCAAAGTATTGCCATAGTCACTGAGTGTGGGAATGCACCTCAGTGATAAAGTATTTGCCTGGCATGCACAAGGCCCTGGATTCAGTTATCCAACACTGCACCAAAAAAAAAAAAAAGGAAAAAGAGAAGTTCATTAAGGTTTTGGTATATGGGCTTCTGTCCTCTTTATGAAGAAGTCATGTATATTCATCAGTTTTTTTTTGCTGGGACAAAGAAGTTGACATACACAATTTACAAAAGGAAAATTTTTTGGCTGCTCAACGTGCAGCAGTCAGGAAGCTGAAAGAGAGAGGCGGACCAGGGACAAGAATACTGTACACCCTTCTGGGCCACACCCACAGTCACCACCTCTTCCAACACATTCTACCTCCTAACAACACATTTAGCTCTGAACTCATCAGTAGGAGAATCATAGAAGGATGTGTTTTGAGCTCTTGTGGTCCATTCACTTTCAGAAAACACTGCTTCTGAACACATGAGACCTTAGGTGGATGTTTTAAATCTAGGCCAGCTTTATGTTGTACATATTGTTTTATAACTTGCTTTTTTTCTCTTAATCTAAAATGATAAAGATCCACATTTTTGGGTCATCCAGATAGCTCAGCAGATTAAAGTGCCTGTTTAATAGTTACATTCTCTTAATGAATAGAGGGAATTGTTCTAATGGTGTTTGTAAATAGGATATCATGTCTGCATCTTGTGCAGCAATTAACCACTAGGAAGAATGTATGCAATGTATTAATTATTGAAATTGTCCTACCAATTTGGCTTGAAACTGTCTCATTGCTATTTGTTTCTCAATAAAATTATGGGGGAAAAAAGGGTCTGTTTAGGCAGATGCAGGGACCCCCAGCCTGCTGTGCTATTCACTGGTTGCGCTCCCAGGGTGCACTGAGATAGCGATTGAGACTGGGTGTGAGTTCAATCCCTGGTTCCACCAAAAAAAAAAAAAAAGAGAGAGAGATAGAGAGAGACTGGGCGTGGTGATGCATGCCTGTAATCCCAGTGCTCGGGACACTGAAAACAAGAGAATCGCCAGAGTCCGAGCTACGTAGTGTGATCCTGTGCACCCTGTACTAAATACAGAAAAAAAATTATTTATTAACATACAGTCAAATTCATTCTTTTTGGCATACAACTCTGGGTTTTAACCAGTACCTAGACTTGCATAACCAGTATCACAATCAAAATACAAAAAACAACAACAAAAAAAACCCCTCAAAACCATCCCATCATCCCCCAGCCTCCTTCATACTGCTCCTTTGAAGTCAGCCCCAGTGTTTGTGCAGCGCCTAGTATTTTGGTGACTACTGCTCTGTTCTTTGTCTTCTGTGATTTCATTTTTTCTGGAATATCATGTAAATGGAATTATACATTATTTAGCCTTTTGAATCTGGCTGATTTCACTTAGCATAATACATTTAACATTCACTTGTGTTATGCATGACAATAGCTTTTTTTTTCCTACATTTTATTTTAGTTGACAATAGCTTTTTTAAAAGTGGCTGAATAGGGGGCTGGCAAGATGGCTCAGTGGTCTAAAGCACCTACTTGGAACAAGCTTGGCAAAGCACAGGGACCACAGTTCTATCCACCAGCGCCACATACCAGCCAGCCCCGCCCCCTGGTGGGCTGAGCTGGCCACACACACACACACACACACACACACACACACACACAAAATAAATAAATAAATGTTAAAAAAAAAAGTGGCTGAATAGTATTCTCTTTTATGAACATAACACAAGTTATCCATTCATCAGATGCAGATAAAGTTGTTTCTAATCTTTGGCAATTACAGTGAAGCTGCTATAAACATTTGCATTCAGATGCTTGTAAGAAAATAAATTTACAGGGCCTGCCAGACAGCTCAGCGGATTAAAGCGCCTGCTTAGGTAGAGTGCAGTGGCTATGCTGCCCCCCATTCCCCGGGGTATGCTGAGACAGATTGAGACTGGGTGTGGTGGTGTGTACCTGTAATCCCAGCTTTTAGGAGGCCGAAAACAGGAGAATCACTATGAGTCCGATCTATGTAGTGAGACCCTGTAGACCCTGTGCCAAATACATAAAAGAAAAAAAGAGAGAGAAAAAAAGAACTTACATTTCCCTTGAGTAAATGCCTCGAAGTGGGTTGCTGGGTCATATGGTAAGTTTATGTTTAATTTTACAAGAGACCAGCAAAGTATCTGTGCCTCCACCAGTAGTGTATGGCAGCTCAGGTGCCCCCCACCCCCCATCTGGTCTCATCCATTGCCAGGTAGACACTTTTCTCTATATTAGAGCACGAGTTTTACACTATTATAAAAGTTGTCAGAACAAACAGTGTGATATTTATGTTAAACAAGGAATGTTACTGCATTTTTGTCTGGACATTTCCATACTGTTCCTGCCTCTGGCTCAGGAAAGCCAAGTGACTCCCTCTGTGTCTTCCTGTAGGTGGATGGAAAGGGGTCTATCAAAGAGCTCTTTCCAACTGGAAAACAGCTGGAGCCCTTAGTTGCACCTCTGGCAGATGGAAAAGTGGCCGTGGGCCAAGACGACCTCACTGTGGTGCTCAATGAAGAGGGGATCTGCACCCAGAAGTGTGCCTTGAACTGGACAGACATCCCAGTGGCCATGGGTGAGGCCAGCAGTCACTGCCTTTGCCGCTTTGGGTTGGGGCTATGTTCTTCCTATGGCAGGTTGCTTTACATTATTTTTACTCTTGGTTCCCTTCACAGAAGTAGGTGATATTTCAGAGCCTTTTAAAACAGGACATTCTGGGCCAGGAGATAGCTCAGTAGAATAAGCGTGCTTGCCTGGCAAGTGCAAGGACCTGAGTTCTATCCCTGGTTCTGCAAATAAAAAAATAAATAGATAAATACATACATACATACATACATACATACATACATGGCATTCTGAGCCAGGGAGGTAGCTCAGCAGCATAAGCATCTGCCTGGCAAGCACAGGGTCCTTAGTTTAATCCCTGGTACCAAAGAAACCAGGACAGTCTGGTTTTTGCATGAAGCTAAGTTTTGCTTGAGGGGAAAAATACAAATAGAAATGTACATTTCAAGAATTGCTTGTCTACCGCTAATCTTACTTCTTAGCTTTTTTTCTTCTATCTTTTTAATGGTTTTATCGTGTCCCCTGCCACGTAGTCTACACTTGAAAATTAGTGGAAATCCCTCATTTATTCCTATAATATATGTATCTCCATATTGAAGGGCTTTTAATGTCATGGTTATTGTTGCCGCTGTTTTTGTAGCTTAGACACACAGACTACAGTTAGCTGACCATCTCTGACTTGGATGTCAGGTATTTCTGCTGCTGCCTGACTCAGGTATCTGCCTCTGAACAGGCATTGCCCTGAAGCATCTGCCCACCTCTCTTTTCTTTCCATTTTTTGGGGGGTGGAGGTTTGAAATGGGGTCTCGCTGTCTCAAGCCTTTAAGGCTCAGGTTGGCCTAAAAGTTGTGGTGATCCTCCTGCCTCAGCCTCCCAAGTGCCTGGATTCCAGCCATGCCCAGCTTTGAGCATCTGCTCACTTTTGCAGCAGTTCCTTGGTAGCCAGAAACATGAGCACTACTGACTACTTCCTCCTGTGGAGTGCGGCACGCAGACGTGCCTTGGGTCTTGAAGGACTCTAGTTGGAGCAAAAGGGATTATGTCTCAGATAAAGAGACAACGCCTGGCTTGAGGTGTTTATTTGGATGCCTTAAGCTTCAGCATTTCTCAGAGAGGGAAGTTCACTGTTTACCTAGGAAGTTTCACTGCACTGACAAGACTGGAGGTAGGACTTTGGAATCTGGCCTGAAGAAAAGTTTCCTTGCATTCTAGGCAGAAAGAATAGTTAGAGAAGTGAGTGAAAGTGCAAAAGTTGCCTTGATTTGTGGGAGGCCGCTGCCAGGACTGAGCTGCTGAAACAGTGGTATCTAGGATGGAGGAATAGGGTGGGGGCAGGTGCTAGAGGTCCGAGAAGGGCCCGAGAGGCCAGTGGGTTCCTGTCTTGATAAAAATATGGTGGTCTAGTGGTGGTTAGAGACCCATAGAGCACAATGAAGGTAAACAAGCAGGATGGTATTTTAGAAGGCCCAGGATTGTGTATAGTAACAACTTTGGGAGCTGAGAGCTTCCAGGAGGCTTCCGTATGCCCTAGGGAGCCTTGGCTTCTCTTCAGGTGAGGCAGTTTGGCAGATGAGATGAAGACCCATGAAACAGTTTCTGATTCTCTAGCATGGCAGTTCCTACTTGAAAACCTTTGCTGGTGTCCCAGGGCCTTTCTTCCACAGCACTTCACAAAAGACATATCTATGCCTTAATTCCAGGCCTGTGTCCTGTGACCCTTTCTCTGCAGTCCTCTGGGCCGCAGGTGGGATGAGTCACTTCTCTGGCATTCTTGGCCCCTGTCTCTGAGATAGTGCTGTGCTGGCACGTCACACTGGCTATCGAGAGTGTTGCCTTCTCTGGCTCCTTACGTGTATAAGTGGGCCAGGTTTTAAAAGGATGAAGAGATTTTACATACTTATACAAGTTAACACTGAAAATTATACTAACTTTTCAAAATGAGGCCAACATAAAAAGAGAAAAAAATCAATATGAAATGACATGCCTTAAATTTTCTTTTAGTTTTTGGTAAGATGAAAAATATCAGCATAATAATAGCAAGAGCAGTAAAAATAATGGGAATATGAAGACCCCCCAAATAACTAATTTCTTAGTTTTGTTTTAGCATTGAGATCTTATACTATTATTCAAAGTATAAATTACAAAGGTAATAGGAATAAAATTAACAGAAAATAGATAATTTAGAAATAAAAATTCATAGCAAGTGAGACACACTGAGAAACTATAAGGAGTGTTTTTGTTGTTAGTGGTGGTGGGGTTTTTTTGTTTTTGTTTTATTTGGACAAGGTCTTGCTGTGTAGTACAGACTGACTTTCTTTTTTTTTTTTTCTTGTGGTACCAGGGATCAGACCTTGTGCTTGTCAGGCAGGCGCTTATGCCACTGAGCTGTATCCCTGACCCCAGACTGACTTTCAACTCACTACGTAGGCCAAGATGGCCTCAAACTTACCGCAGTCCTTCTGCCTCAGCCTCCCAAGTGCTGGGATTGCAGGTGTACGCTACCATGCCTGACAGAATACAGTATATTTTTGCAGGTTAAATTTCTGTGTAATTATGCCACCTAATGGTTTGCTTCTTAATAACTTTTCACATTAAAACTTTTTAATATGGTGAAAACATAACAAAATTGATCATCCTAATCCTTTTTAAGTGCAACAGTGTTAAATATATTTTTTATATTGTTGTACGACTAATTCTTTGAAACTTTCCATCTTGGATAACAGCACTTCTTAAACCTAAGCTGTTCCTGACAGCCACTATCCTGCTTTCCAAATCTGTGGCTTCGACTCTTCTAGATCCCTTTTGTAAGTGGCATTAATCCGTATCTGTTTCTTTCTGTGACTTGGCCTATCTCACTTAGCATCATGTCCTCAAGGCTTGTCTAGGTTGTGTCACCTGACAGAATTGTCTGTCACACAAAGCTTCTCATCACAACTGTAGCTTAGTCCCTTCTATCTTGCACAGAACACCAGCCCCCCTACATCATCGCAGTGTTGCCTCGATATGTGGAAATCCGAACGTTTGAGCCACGGCTGCTGGTCCAGAGCATTGAATTGCAGAGGCCACGTTTCATCACCTCAGGGGGGTAAGGAATTTCCTTCTTCACTGTGGCTGCCGTGTAGTCACCAAGGTTAAAATCACCCATGTCATCATCTTTCACTGATGATCTGATTTCTGCCTTCAGATCAAACATTATCTATGTGGCCAGCAATCATTTTGTTTGGAGACTCATTCCTGTCCCCATGGCAACTCAGATCCAACAGCTTCTCCAGGATAAACAGTTTGAATTGGCTCTGCAGCTCGCAGTAAGTCTTGTTCCTGAGATTTGGGGGTGAGTCACCTTTCCAGAAGGGCTGAATGTGATATAGATATTTTGGACTAGTAGAATGAGCACAGAGCTGAAAGGAAGTTCAATGCTATAGTAATAGTATCCTATAAAATGAATGGGGGAATAAAATAGTAGCTGTTTTTGTTTTAAAAAATTAAAGACTGGACACATTCGAAATACAATAGCAGTCACAAATGTAATGTTACAGCCTAGTTGAATGTAACAATGGGCCATTCTGATTTCTTTCAAAGGTAAAGTCTGTGTTGAGATGAGTAACCTCTGTGAGGTATTCTTTTTTTTTTCCTTTCCCATAACTTTATTGACAGACATATAGCAGTGAGACAGTTCCACATCAAATTGGTATGACATTTTCAATAATCTGTTAGGTATTCTGAAACCACCTCAATCTGTTGTATTCAACCAGGTTGCAATCTGACATTTATGATTGGTACTATGTTAGTCAGCTTGTCACTATAATAAATATCAAATACAACTTACTTGAAAAAAGGTTTATTTACCTGAGTTTTGAAGGCTCAAAGTCCATATGGCATAGTGCAGTCAGTATCCATGTGAATACTGCCCCTTGGCTCTGCCACACCCTGGCATGCACAGCAGTTGGGGCCAAGCAGAGTTATACCTCCACGGGGCAGGGAGGACAGGAAGGGCTGGAGCTGCTCCTTTTATATCAGCCTCTTCTCATGAACTTCTCAGGAATTCTATGTGATCCATCCTGTGTCTGCAGTCACCTGTAGGTTCTCCACCAGGCCTATCTCTTAAAGGTCCACCCCATCCCTCAGCACTGATGTACTGGGGAACTGGTTTCCAACACTTGGCCCCCTGGAGGGTGGGGCCAGGCAACACCACAGCAGTTACTCTCCTTCATGTTTGTGTGTCATGGTGCTCACGGCAAAGCAGTGCTTGTGTCCTTGTTCCAGTGGCGCTCCCGTGGCCAGCAACCATTTTGGAGTTGACCATTAGGGTCTAGGTCTTATTCTTAAAAACATTGTCAATGGGGGCCTGCCCCTTAGCTCAGTTCTTTGGGGCCGGGGAGATGGCTCAGTGGAATAAGCGCTTCCCTGGCAAGCACAAGGGCCTGAGTTCAATCCCCGGTTCTGCAAAAAAAAACAACAACAACAAAAACATCGTCAGTGATGACTGTTATAATCTGTAGAAGATGCATTTGATTTCCGGAAACAACAGAAGTTATTCTCAGCCTAAACTAGACAGTGAATTTAAAGAAATTTGGATGAAGATAATAAAAGTTAACTTCTAAGCTTGGGTGGTGATGTGTACCTGTAATCCCAGCACTAGGCAGACTGAGGCAGGAGGATCACAAGTTCAAAGGCAGCCTGGGCTAGGTGTGGGAATAAGCACAGTGATACACTGACAGTGGTTCGACTCAGGTAGCCATAGGGAAGGGAGGAAGGGAACTGAGAGGTGAAGAACAAATTAGATTTGGTAAAGATTGACTAAAAGTGCTATAAGGGGGAAAGGTAATCAAAAGAATCAAGGCTGTTAATCGCCTCATTTATTGAGCTTTTGCTATAAGTAAGGCCTTTCTCTACTCTAGATCTCACCAGATGACTTCATTTCTTGAGCATAGCATGTTCTCTGTTCAGGGTCTTGCACATGCCTGCCCCCTTTCCCATAAGCACATCTCCTCTTCCCTCCCTTCCATCCTCTGCCCAGTGCACGTGGCTAACTGCAGGTCACCCCTGCTGCCCCAGGCCTGGTTCCTGCTCAGACTGCTTCTGCCATCGTGCTTACCCTGTCTCGTTTAGGATTTTTGTTTTAAAACTAATTTTAGGACTTTACTTGGACTTGACCAGTTTTTCCATCACTGTCCTTTTTTCTTTGCCAGAATCAAATCTGGGAATTGTGTTGTATTTAATTGTCACATATGCTTTGTGTCCTCAGGCCTGTGACAGTGTCTTTCTCCTCATTTTGCGTGATCTTGAAAGTCTTCAGGAGTACTGCTTAGGCTATTTGCAAAAAACTTGGTGTATCTTAGTTGTGTGGCTACTTGTGGTTAGACCATATCCCTGGGGGCAAATACATGTTGGGGCTGTGCGGGATTGAGCTCCTGTGGTTTCTAAGATACTGTGCCACCCAGAACATGCTGAATATGTGTTTATTGGGTCAGTAAGCACTTAACCTGTTCTGCTCTCTTGTCAGGAAATGAAAGATGATTCTGACAGTGAAAAGCAGCAACAAATCCATCACATCAAGAACTTGTATGCCTTCAACCTCTTCTGCCAGAAGCGCTTTGATGAGTCCATGCAGGTCTTTGCTAAGCTTGGCACAGGTAATCGCAGGTGTGGCTTTGGATGGGAGCTTATGAATTCTACAGACCAGGCAGGTTGGGGAGCAGTGACAGCAGACTTCTGAGAATGGAGAGATCTAACTCTCCTCATTTGTGATCCTCATGCCTAGCAAGATTTTACAGTGACTATAATGGTTACCTATCTATAGTCGTAATCTGATCTTATCCATAAACATACTTGGAATTTTCAGAACTTGTATGTACTTGATCAGGTAGTATCTATGGAATGCTGTCCTAGACAGAAGGCCCTGGATTAAATAGTAGGTTACATTCTAGAGCCAACATAAGACAACACTACATAGTCCTTCCTTAGCATCCTAAGATGTCTCTTGACACCTGGATGTGAGCAGGTGCATTGGCAACAGCCGGCCTGAGCTCAGCTGGCATCTGGACCTCTTTGTGCATTTGAGTTCCCTTTTTCAAAAGGTGGACAGTGCTGGTGTTGCCCGCACAGTGCTGCTGTGTAGATGAAATGGAGTCCATTGATACCTCTGCATGTTCCAGTTTTGCTAAATGTGAATGAATCTGTATGTGCTTGGTTTTTTCTTCTGAATCATATTGTAGTCTTACCCTTCCTCTTCCCCTTTGCTTTGCCTTTTCTTCCACTGTCCCTCAACCCTGGCTGTTAATGCCCTGTGATAACTGCTGTATCTGTTCAGTTTTTTTGTTTTTGGGGGGTTTTTTTTTTGTTTGTTTTTTTTTTGTTTGTGAATAAGGAAGCCAATTCTGAATACTCTAAGAAGAATCTGATCAGTAAAGCAGGGTATATTGGAATGTCAAGGGGTTGGCAGTTGGAGGTACCATACAGTTGCTAGGAGGCCAGGCTTGCAAACAGCTCTGGTGGTGCTCCTGGCAGGAAGCAGGAAGCAGGATAGCAATCACTATGTAGCCAGGCCAGGCTGGGCAGTCTTGGCCAGGCATAGCCACCCTTTAGTGGCTTCCACCTCCCCTGTTACTGTGTCCTCAATAAAAATTGCCCCCACCAGTTTGTTAACTATTTAATGCATGTAACAAATCACCCTGAAACTTAGTGGCTCAAAGGAGCAGGCATCTGTTATCTCTTTATATTATTGAGGAGAAATTTGGGAGGGCTCTGCTCTTGCTCGCTTATTCTCCTGGTTGATTATTGGAGCTGGAGACCTCTGTCTTTGTCCAAATGGGTCTCTCCAAAGAGCCACTTGAGTGTCCTTCTGGTAGCAGCTGGCATTTCCAAAGAGAAGCCTCAGGCCTTTTGTGACTATCTGTTCTGCTGCATTCTGTTCACTTACAAGGTTCCTTCCAGGATTTAATAGAAATCCCTCTCTGACTCATACCTAGGATACTCTTTGTTATGGTTTGCCTTAGTTACTTTTCTCTCCTTGCTGGAACAAATACCCAACTCCCAAAATTAAGGAAGGAAAGGTTTATTTAGCTCACAGTTAGTAGAGTTTTTAGTCCATATTCAGCTGGCTGAAAGGCAGAGCAGCACATGGCAGAGGGCAACCTTTCATGGTGGCAGAAAACAGCAAAGGGCAAAGTGAGGGACAGCAGCTGTGGCTTCTAGCAAGCTTCTCTTCCCTCCTCACATTGTAATGCAGATTACCCACCAGGGCATGAATAGCACTCATACCCATATTCCCAGCATTGGATCATGAATTAATCACAAGCTTTAGAACCATGCCCCAATGATTGCATGAGTCTTTGGGGGGACAACTACACACAAACCATAACATGGCTTATATCTAGATGTCCCCCCAAAGCCTCATATATACAGAGGTGGGGCTTTTTGAACTGCCTGGACTTAGGGCATATAATACTGGGATTAAGAGTATATGGTACTTAATTAGTCTGCTGTTGGTTTAGCCTAGTTTTGGGTGTGGACAGTGGGAAGGCCCATCCTGGGTGTGGGTGGCAGCACCCATAAGGCTCATAGCGTGGATGGCGTAAAAGGGAAAGGGAAGCTAACTGCTTTGCTGCTTGCTGCTTTGTGCCTGCCTTGCCATGAACCGTTTCTCCTCCTCAATGCTCCTCTATCGTGTTGCCCTGCCATGGATCCAGCTGACTGCTGATTGAATCTCTGCAAATTGTGAGCCAAAATAAACTCTCAGCTTTAACTTGTGGGTGTTGAGTATTTTGTCTCAGCAATGAACACAATAACTAAGACCCTTTTTTTAAAGGTACTGCAGTATAGAAGCTTTGTGTATATGACTACAGTGCCTTGTATGTGGCCATGAGAAGTACCAGGGCTTATGGGAAAATATAAGGCTAGAGGGACCATATGAAGACTGTAGCCTATGTGACTTTGTAAGCAGAGCACATATAAAAGTAGTAACAATCCCATGACATTTAAATCCCCACGGGCATTTAAACCCCACTTGGTCCTTTGTGGTCTTAAACTCTGGAGCTGTGCTTGTTCCTTTTAGATGCTAATCTCTGAAGATATTTGAGACCTCTAGAAACCAGTTTCATTGAAAACAAAACAAGACTCGCTGGTGAGATGGCTCAGTGGTCTAAAGCACCTACTTAGAACAAGCTTA